GTCCTCGCATCTCCGTCATGTCTGAGAGCGAGAAAAAGAATGCAAAGATGTCGAAGAAGGCAGGTTTAAGGTTTAGGGTTTAGGGGCGTAGGGGTTTATTGCTTAGGGTTCGGGGTTTGGGGGTTTTGGTCGCCGTGCTTAATGCATTCAATCTGAGAGTCAGGTCAGGTGTCATGATATTGGTTTGTTTTTTGTTGTGTCCGTGTGTTTTTTTTGTGTGGGTGCTCAAAGGACCTTTTTTTGGGCTCTTGGGCCCAAAGGCCTTCTTGCACAATGCTTCTGGGCTGTTTTCAAGGGATTCGTGCAAGGTTCGCAAGAAAGAGAGAGAGAGAGAGAGAGAGAGAGAGGGAGAGAGAGAGAGAGAGAGCGAGGGAGAGAGAGGGGGAAAGAGGGAGAGAGAGAGAACGAGAGAGCGAGATAGAGAGAGAGAGGAGAGAGAGCGGGAGAGAGAGAGAGAGAGAAGGGAGAGAGAAGGGGAAAGAGGGAGAGAGAGGGCGAGAGAGGGAGAGAGAGGGAGAGAGTGCTGAGATTCACCCTAAACCCTACACCCCTAAATCCTTACTTAACTTGGCCCTAAACCCTAAACCCTAAACCCTAAACCCTAAACCCTAAACCCTAAACCCTACTCCCTAAACCCTAAACCCCCAGCCAGGCCGCCAGTCGCGAGAACCGCCCCAGCAGCGAGCCGTGGTCTCAGCTCCCGGCGCTTAGGGCACAAGGTTTGTAGAATTTGGGGGGGGCGGGATTTAGGGTTTAGGGTTTAGAGTTTAGGGTTTAGGGTTTGGGTTTGGGGTTTATGATCTAGGGTTTAGGTTTAGGGTTTAGGGTTAGGGCAAGGTTTTGGGTTTTAGGGTTTAGCCCTGAACCCTAAACCCTAAACCCTAAACCCTAAACCCTAAACCCTTAGGGTTTATGGCTTTCGGTTTTTTCAGGCGCCGTGTGAGGATCCCTCCTTGAGTCCCTTGGCTGTACTTGCCACAGGAACGCGCACTCCGCGGCCTTGCAGTACTGCTTGCATGTTTGCTTCTCGTTTATTGTTTAGGTTTAGTGTTTAGGGTTTAGGGTTCAGGGTTTAGGGTTTAGGGTTCAGGGTTTAGGGTTTAGGGTTTAGGGTTTAGGGTTTGGGGTTTGGGGTTTCGGGTTTAAGGTTTGGGATGGCGAATTTCAGGGCCTCTTCGAAAAGTTGGGCACTCCGGACTTCCTAAGCACGGCAACGCACACCTTAGTGCGGCACAAGTTGGGGAAGGTTGGTTAGGGTTTAGGGTTTGGGGTTTCGGTTTTAGGGTTTAGGGTTTCAGTTTTAGGGTTTAGGGTTTAGGGTTTAGGGTTTAGGGTTTAGGGTTTAGGGTTTAGGGTTTAGGGTTTAGGGTTTAGGGTTCCTTGCGAGGCTTTAGGACTCAGGGCCTGCCCTAAGACCCTCAACTCCGGTTCAAGCTTCCGGCCGGCCCCATGGCTCTCTTCAAACCGTGCTGGACAGTGCTTAGGGTTTCGGGTCTAGGGTTCATGGTTTTAGGGTTTAGGGTTTTAGGGTTTAGGGTTTAGGGTTTAGGGTTTAGGGTTTAGGGTTTAGGGTTTAGGGTTTAGGGTCGGTATATCGACCCCCAACATTGGCAGGCTGTACGTTTCAGAAGCCCCTAAGCCCCCAAACTTCACCCCCCCCCCCCCCCCCCCCCCCCCCCCGCCAAAACAAAAAAGAGTATCTTCCTTTTAAGGGTACTATGAGGATTAGTTGTTAGGCTCGGGGTTTAGGGTTTCGAGGGTATCTCGAGGCAACTTGTTAAAATCATGCCAGGTTGCTGGCGTCACTGAGTACAGATCCCGACGAGCTTGATGTAGCTGAGACCGGCATTTAGTGCGTTGAAGTGAATACCGGCATCCATCTTTCAGGGTTCAGGGAGTCTTCTAGTCGGTTTTCCTAACCCCTAGTTACAGCTGAATATGGCCTTAAACAAGCCTTACATGACTAGGCCTTTGGAGCCCAAAAGCCCTAAACCAAGAGTCCTTGGAGCCTTAAGGCTCGAGGGTTTCAGGATTTAGGGTTTTAGTGGTTTAGTGAGTTTTTCGGTGTCATGGAACTGTCCCAAACCCAACGGACGCACAAGAAGTTGACAGAAGAGAGCCCTAAAATTTGGGTCATCCAAAACTAGAAGGGAAAATGCTCCATCTCCTGCCTAAGCCAAGGCCACCCTAAACCCTAGACACTTTCCAAGCAGCCTATACCCTCAACTTTGCCCTAAACTGCCTGAACCCCCCACGTCCCCTGAACCCGAAACTAGAACCTCAACCTTAAACTCTAAACCGTCTAAACCCTAAACCCTAAACCCTGAAACCCTAAACCCTGAAACCCTGAAACCCTAAACCCTAAACCCCAACACCGACGTGCTGGCCTTTCGGGTTCTTCGTTGAAGACTCATGGGAAGTGTTGCGTTTGGTGTGAGAGTTTGCAGTTCAGGGTCTCCATGGTATTTTGCGGAGGTTCACGGGAAGTTATATGGGTGGCTGTCAAAATGATGGTCCCTTTTGGATCCCTATTATCATACGGCTATTATAATTGCGACAACCACCCATATGTAGGGTAGGTCTGGCTTAGCAATGCAAGTTGAACGTGCTGACGGCGATTGCTCCCTGAAGCGAGCCTAAACCCCAAACGCTGAAACTCCTGCCTAGTGGTCTCCAAAGGCAGAGCTGGAGATAAAGAAGCCTCTGGTGACGCCGAAGCCTGCAAGCACCTTGGAGACAACGAAGTTTGGGGGGTTTGGTTTGGGGTTTAGGGTTTAGGGTTTAGGGTTTAGGGTTTAGCGTTTAGGGTTTAGGGTTTAGGGTTTATTTAGGGTTTAGGGTTTAGGGTTTAGGGTTTAGGGTGTAAGGTTCAGGCGAGTTCCGCTTTTCCATTGGAAGCAGACCTAAGACGCAAGCTCGAAAAAAGCTCTGAGCCGTAAAATTTCAAACCCCTAACCCCCGGGTTAAACCCCCTAAACCCCAGACCCCCTAAACACCCTAAAGCCCCCTAAACCCCCTAAGCCCCCCAAACCCCCCAAGCCCCCTAAGCCCCCTAAGCCCCCGTAAGCCCCCTAAGCCCCCTAATGGCCCCCTAAGCCCCCTGATAGCCCCCGAAGCCCGTAACCCTAAGACTTCTCTGTCGAGGCTTGGTAGGGTTAAGGGTTTCACACTTTGGGTTTGAGGATTTCAAGGTTTGGGGCTCAGGGTCTTAGAGTTTAGGGTTGCAGGTTTTGAAATCTGGGGCTTCCATTCCTAAACCCTAAACCCTAAACCCTAAACCCTAAACCCCAAACCCTAAACCCTAAACCCTAAACCCGAAAAGTCCCAAAACGCTCAGGCGAGAAGAACAAGAACATCCATCAGTCGAACCTGTCCGGCATGGGCCCTGTGCTCAGATTTCTCCGCCCTGCCGAAAGAAGGGGTTTGGGGTTTAGGGTTTAGGGTTTAGGGTTTGGGGTTTGGGTTTCGGGTTTAGGGTTTAGGGTCTAGGGTTTAGGGTTTAGGGTTCAGGGTTCAGGGTTCAGGGTTTAGGGTTCAGGGTTCAGGGTTTAGGGTTTAGGCCCCTAAACTCTGAACCTTTAACCCTAAACTCTAAACCCGAACAGTTTTGGGGTGTTCCCCTCAACCCTAGACTCTAAACCCTAAACACTAGACTTTTTTGAAATTTAGTTTTGGGGTGCTCCCCTCAACCCTAAACTTTAAACCCTAAACTCTAAACTCGAAACCTCAAACCCTAAACCCTAAACCCTAAACCCTAAACCTTTTTTTTCAATTTGAAGGGTTCACAGCTTCGCTTCTTGAAGGGTCTCCTGCTGAGCTCGACGGCATGCGAAGCTCCAAAACGCAGACCCTCGGGGTATTCCTGAACCTTTAGGGTTTGGGGTTCAGGGTTTAGGGTTTTGATGTTTCAAACCCGTTTAAGGACGGTGAGTATAAGGGGGCAACATCCCAAGTGACAATCCTAAGCCCTAAAGTTTCAAACCCCAAGAAGAAGAATCGCAGTTCTAGCGTTTAGACTGGTTTGGTTTTGGCGGGTCTACATAAGTTGGGCTTCTTCTTTTGTTCCGGGGGGGGGGGGGGGGAAGGGTGATTCGTGAAGCTCGCTCACGCCTACTTGCTTGTGGGTTCATTCCAAACCCTAAACCCTCTAAACCGTCCGACCTATACCCCGAAACCCGAAACCTAAGCCGCCCCTAATTTACTAAACGCTAAATCGACCGTGTGGTCACATCGGTCGTGGCGTCAGGCTGCTTCAAAGCAACTTCCCAACAGAGAGAGAAGGGTTTAGGGTTTAGGGTTTAGGGTTTAGGGTTGTTGGGGATTTGGGGTTTAGGGTCCTCTAAAGCTCTATTAGGGTTTAGGACTCAGGGTTCAGAGTTTAGGCTTCAGTGTTTAGGGTTGGGGGTTATTTATACAAACCCAAAACCCGAAACCCTAAAATATCCTTCCCTTAGGGGTTACAGGGGCACCCTAAACCCTACCCTGGACCCTGGACCCTGAACCCTCAACCCTGAACCCTGAACCCTAAACCCTAAACCCTAAACCCTAAACCCTAAACTCCAAACCCTAAACCCTAAACCCTAAACCCTAAACCCTAAACCCTAAACCCTAAACCCTAAACCCTAAACCCTAAACCCTAAACCCTACCTATCTCGCTCACTTCCAGGTCTTCGCTTGGTACTCCCCGAGGGCACCGAGCGGAAGCACTTCAAAGGCCTGATGTCTGGGACAGGGTCCCCCAACCCTGAACCCTAAACCCTAAACCCTAAACCCTAAACCCTAAACCCTAACCCCCCTCCCCCCCCCCAAAGAAGAAAAAAAAACTAAACCCTAAACCCTAACCCAGGGTTTATGGATTTCGATACGGGGTGCTGCGAGATGAAAGCATCTTTCTTAGTCGTAGAACATGAATCTGGGTCCCTCCATGTCTCTGTAAGCCCTTTCCCGGAAGCCAACGCTGAAAGCTCTAACCCTAAACCCTAAACTAAACCCTAGACCCTAAACCCTAAACCCCAAACCCTAAACCCTAAACCCTAAACCCTAAACCCTAAACCCTAAACCCTAAACCCTAAACCCTAAGCCCTACCTAGGGTTGAAGCCCGGTAGGCAGGCCCCGGATGAATCCTCAAGCCAGTGCCATGGGGCCTAAACCCTAAACCCTAAACCCTAAACCCTAAAACCTAAACCTAAACCTAAGCCCGACCAGGATACGAGCGCGTTGATGTGCCAGCGGCCCGTGGCCCAGCTTTCAGGGTTGAGGGTTTAGGGTTGAGGGTTGAGGGTTAGGGTTTAGGGTTTAGGGTCTGGGATTTTAGGATTTAGGGTTCAGGGTTTAGGTCTGGGGTTTTAGTGTTTATCCAAATATCGCTATGTACCTACACCCTGCGAGCCCAACTTGTCGGAGAGGGGCTAAGTCATAAGTGCTTTGGCAAATCCCCAAAAAGAACCAGAGAGAACCCGACGGTTCATTGGGATACTTCCCTTTTGCAGAGGCTAGACGGTCAGTTCTCACAGTAACGGTCCTGTCCAGGGTGCCCCTGGTAGCGCGGTCGTGCTGTGATAGGGGCCCGAGGAGGACCCTACCTCAAAGATCCTAGGTTCATGTAGCTGTACCTGGACTTGTAGGCAGGGAAGGGACCGTTATGACTCTGACCCATAAACCCTAAACCCCCAAACACTAAACCCTGACATGGACCTGCATACACCTACTCATGTATCTTCGAATGACCTAAACCCCGAACCCACAACCCTAAGACCCCAAACCTGAGCCCCGCAATCCCCTGAATCCCCAGAACCCCTGAACCGAAGTCCACGAAGCCCTAAGACCGTATATCCAAATAACGCAAACCCTGAAGCCCGCCAAGCCCAGATATTTCCGAACACGCCCCCGCCCCCGCCCCTCCGCACACCCTACACTTGTCCTAGAGTAATTGGCCTTGATCCTTAACAAACGGTATATTTCCCCAATAATTCAGGTACATTTTGCCAATTTAGCTCTAAACCCCTAAAGCCCCACACCCAATTGGATTCACAGGCACCTCCGTTTGACCCCGACGTGGCGAAAGTGAACTACATCCAGATCAAGGACCTCTGGTAGTTGTTGGTTGGGGCTAGGGTTTAGGGTTTAGGAGTTTGAGATTGTGGGGCTAGGGTTTAGCAGTTTGAGGTTTAGGGTTCGAGGGTTCTGGGCTTAGGGCTTTTGAGTTTAGGTTTCGGGAGAGAACCCGTGGTTTGGCAGGGTTTCAAACTCTTCTTAGGGCTTGTGAGGGTTTTGGGGGTTAAGGCCAAACCCTAAACTTAAAACCCTACTAACTACCGACAAGGGGCTTACTAAAACCCAAGCCTAAATCCCAGAGACAAAACTCTGAACCCAAGATAGAGGTACCTCATGTATACGCCCGAAGTGTCGTATGCACGCTGTCCAACTAGCAGTCCCAATGAGTTGCCTGAATTTTGGGACCCAACCCCACTAAACCCTAAACCCGAAACCCCATGCAGCCCTAACCCCTAAACCCTATAAACCCGATAAACCTTATAAACCCCATAAACCCTATAAACCCTATAAACCCAAAAACCCTAAAACCCTCTAAACCCTAAACCCGATAAGCCCTAAACCCTATAAACCCTAAGCCCTAAACCCTAAACCCTAAACTGTTCCATGTTGCTGCTCCTGCTGTGTCCCAGAACCCCTGAAAGAAGTTCGGGGAGTCCCCAAGTGTGCGACTCGCCTGCTACCAGCTCTCAGCCTGCCCCTAGATACCCCAAAGCACCAAGTTCTAAGCCCCTAAACCCCGAAACCCCGTAGCCCTAACCCTAAACCCTAAACCCTAAACCCTAAACCCTAAACCCTAAACCCTAAACCCTAAACCCTAAACCCTAAACCCTAAACCCTACTAACTACCGACAAGGGGCTTACTAAAACCCAAGCCCTAAATCCCAGAGACAAAACTCTGAACACAAGATAGAGGTACCTCATTTATACGCCCGAAGTGTCGTATGCACGCTGTCCAACTAGCAGTCCCAATGAGTTGCCTGAAATTTGGGACCCAACCCCACTAAACCCTAAACCCGAAACCCCATGCAGCCCTAACCCCTAAACCCTATAAACCCGATAAACCCTATAAACCCCATAAACCCTATAAACCCTATAAACCCAAAAACCCTAAAACCCTCTAAACCCTAAACCCGATAAGCCCTAAACCCTATAAACCCTCAGCCCTAAACCCTAAACCCTAAACCCTAAACCCTAAACCCTAAACTGTTCCATGTTTCAGCTCCTGCTGTGTCCCAGAACCCCTGAAAGAAGTTCGGGGAGTCCCCAAGTGTGCGACTCGCCTGCTACCAGCTCTCAGCCTGCCCCTGGATACCCCAAAGCACCAAGTTCTAAGCCCCTAAACCCCGAAACCCCGTAGCCCTAAACCCTAAACCCTAAACCCTAAACCCTAAACCCTAAACCCTAAACCCTAAACCCTAAACCCTAAACCCTAAACCCTAAACCCTAAACCCTAAACCCTAAACCCTAAACCCTAAACCCTACATGACCTGGCGCAGTAAGCCCTAAACCCCAAGCCCGAAGCCCTAAAGCCTAGACTAAACCCTATCCAGCTCTGGCCTTCTAAGCTCTGCAAAGTTGAGGGTGCATCAACTGGGCGATGTGCGCTGAGGGATCAGGGATTTCTAAAGCTTAAGGGCCCCCAAACTCAAAACTTTTTTTGGGGTTTTCAGGGCTTTTAGGTTTTTACGTCTTTAGGGTTTTTAGGGTTTTAGGGCTTTAGGATTTTTGAGGTTTTTAGAGTTTTTGGAAGTTTTAGGGTTTTTTTTAGGGTATTGAGGGTTTTCAGGGTCTTCAGGGTCTTTAGGGTTTAGGGTTTAGGGTTTATAGGGATTCGCCCTTACCGTATCCTGCCTGGCATTTCTTCGCCCCAGACCTTTGATATGAGGAGTTGCCACAATGGGCGCAGATCGCCTTCAAAGGAACGGAGAAGTCAAGCGCCCAGGATCAGAACCCGAATAAGGGGCCCGGATCGTCCAGTAGCCAGACTTGTCCCTCAGTTTGGTTTAGGGTTTAGGGTTTGGGGTTTAGGGTTCTCGGGTTCAGGGATTTGGGGGTTTTGGGGGGTTTCGGGCTCCATTAAGACGTGGCCTCGTTTTGGGAGAGTGTTCTTGCCTTCAATCGCGCACGCAGAGGCTCCAAAGCACGCTGAATTTGTGGCAAAAACCACCATCGTCGCAGTTACGCCTTGGGCATGGCGAAAACCACAAAAAGCCTCGAACCGAAAACTCGACCCGCCCACCGCCCTCCCTCGTAAAATCGCGTGGCGCGATACCGAGATGACTGCGAGCTTCCGAAGCTTCAGAAACCCTAAACCCGAAACCCCAAACCCGAAACTCTAAACCCTAAACCCTAAACCCTAAACCCTAAACGGAAGCCCAGCACAGACTGGAACTTGAACCCCTCCATCCACGAACATGCTTTCAGAAACCGAAGCCGTCATCCTAGATACCCAAAAAGCCCGAGTACTCCCCAAACCCTAAGCCAGAGCAAGCTTTAAAAAGCCCCAAGCTTTAAAGCCCTAAGCCCTACGAACCCTACATCACGAGCCCTAAGACCCGCGGGCTTGGGTTCCCTTAAAAGATCCTTTTGAACCAAATACCCTTGTTTATTCCTAGGGCACTAGCCCTAAACCCTAAACCCTAAACCCTAAACCCTAAACCCTAAACGCTAAACCCTAAACCCCCAAACCGAGGCTGAACACAATCCAGTCGATCGTGTTCAACGCGGCCTTTGGGCGCTCGCCCATCGCTCGGTGGGATGTGGCGTTTTCGGACTTACAGGAGAGTTTGGGGTTTAGGGTCTGGGTTTATATATATGTATTATAATATAGGGTTGGTGGTGTAGGGTCTGGGTTTAGGGTTGAGGGTCTAGGGTCTGGGTTTAGGGCTTAGTAGGGCTGGATGAAGAGTTTTTGGGGGGGGGGGGGGTCATGAATTCAAGGTCATTCGGCTAATATTTAGGGGGTATTTCGGGCGGAAACTTGGACTCTGGAGGGGCCCTTGTCGTTCCATAAACTTGGCCTAAACCCTTAGGGTTTAATTGGGGTTTAGGGTTAGGGTTTAGGGTCTAGGGTCTAGGGTTTAGGGTTTAGGGTTTAGGGTTCACCCTACGTGTGTGAAGAGTTACTGTTTTTTCTTGAGATCGTTGCCTTGGGCTTTACTGCCCTATAGACTCCGAGACCCTGGCTCCAAGGCTGAGCAAGGGTTTGGGCTTTAGGGTTTGGGGTTTAGGGTTTAGGGTTTAGGGTTTAGGGTTTAGTTCAAAACTCCCGACCCCAACTAAGCATACGTTTGGGGTTTGCAGTTCCTCTGCGGGAAGGGCCGTTGTGCCCCAATTCTTGTGGACGCTTGTGGCCCTGGTTTAGGGTGTAGAGTTTATATTGTAGGGTGTAGGGTTTAGGGTTTTTCGGGTTTAGGGTTTAGGGTTTAGGGTTTAGGGTTTAGGGTTTAGGTAGTCTGGCAACAGGTGTCGCCTCTGCCTCGGGAGTCTCCAAGCCCTAAGCTCCGTAAAAGGGTCTCGCGCACAGCTCAGGCAGAACTTGCTGATATGTGCCCCGACAGGTCTTGAGCTGAGCTCCACGCTTGGGGTTTAGGGTTTAGGAGGTTTAGGGAGCTTAGGGTTTAGGAGGTTTAGGGAGTTTAGGGTTTTCGGGTTTAGGGTTTAGGGCTTAGGGTTTAGGGTTTTGGAGGTTTAGGAGGTTTAGGGAGTTTTGGGGGGTTTGGGGTTTAGGGTTTAGGGTTCAGGGGTACTTCCCAAAACTTCTGGCAGGATCAGAATGTGCTCATATGAGGTGCCCATTGATAAGAGGTACGGAGATTGGGATTTCCAACTTCAGGGCTTTGGGTTCAGGATTCAAGTCGGGATTCCAGGACTTGGTGGGAAACTTTGGGACGGTATGAACCTTGTCATCGGGAGTCCATCGCTAGGGTTTTAAGTAGGGTTTGGAGTTTAGGGTTTCGGGTATAGGGTTTCATTCTATCGCCGGAGCCTTTATTTGTGACATTACACTGATTGCGCTTCAATCAGAAGACGCATTTTCTTACAACCTACTTCATTACATGCGTTCACATGATTGTTCAAATAGATAACTTAATCAAGTCCACACAAAGTCATGCAATCACTGGCACCTCCTCAAAAATTCGACAAACCCTAAACCCTAAACCCTGAAGCCTAAACCCTAAACCCTAAACCCTAAACCCTAAACCCTAAACCCTAAACCCTAAACCCTAAACCTCAAACCCTAAAGCCTGCATGCTTTGAGAGGCGCCGGCAAGACCAACATCGCCGTTCTGACGATCCTGCGCCTGATCGGCCAGCACATGGATGCTGCAGGTGAAAGAGGGGGTGGGTCTGGGGTTTTTAGGGCTTTTGAGTGTAGGGTTTAGGGCTAGGGTTTAGGGTTTAGGGTTTAGGGTTCAGGGTTTCGGGTTCAGGGATGAAAGAACACGGGTATTTTGAAATCTTTAATAACAAAAGTCAAGATTACATTTAAATGTGCTGGGCCTCTATATTGTCTTGTAAAATGACTATGGTCGCGAACTTTTTTCCATCCTTCTTGTTATCAAAGCAACCAAAAAAACAACAACACCTTTTAGCTTCGTCATATTCTTTTTGAATCCTAAAAGTAAACCCAAACCCTAAAACCAACAATACCGGGGCGTCAGGGTCCCAGATGCCCTACAGCCGTGAGTCAAGGAAGAATTACATGCCACAGATCATCATGCTTTGCTTAGCCAACAGGTGAACTTTAGTTTTTTGGGGTTAAAGCATTATAGTAGCAATAGTAAAGCTTACCCTTTGTGTTCCTTGGTTGTAGGAGAAGCAAGTACATTCCGTGATTAAGGGCTTAGGGCTTAAGGTTGGCGTCATGCTGTACCTAGAGTGACCTTGATCCTCCTTGTAAACCAATAATCGAGGTACATGTCCCCTTTTTAAGGGTATGAAGGTTAGGGTTTAGGGTTTCGGGCTTAGGGTTTTGGGTTCAGCGGCTAGCGTTTAGGGCTTACTCTAGGTATAGAGTTTAGGGCTCAGCTGGATGCAATTGACAACGGGTGGTCATGGTGGATGGTATGTTCGGTCTACTCGCCTTGGCAGCCAATTCCTAGAAACCCTAAACCCTAAACCCTCAACCCTCAACCCTAAACCCTAAACCCTAAACCCTAAACCACCATCTGATAGTCCGCGGGATGGCGGGGTTTAGCTGCAAGTTTGCCGAGCGACATTTTTGAAAGCACGGGCTTTGGGTTTAGGGTTTAGGGTTTAGGGTTTAGGGTTTGCTCCTTTCTTGCATGGTGAGGCCACGGAGTCTCAGCAAGATACCCGCCAGTGCCTTTTCTTGGCGACCATGCAAGGAAAGGACATGGCTCCACAACGGGTGAGTCTATGCGGCCCTGTGCACCCCACTCCGCATTCCGATCATTGTTCATTCTGCAGAACATGGCGCGCGGCATCTTTTGCAAGCCAAAGTGGTAGCCACACGTGCGCCAGGGCATCTCTTCCAGGTGTACAAAGAAGACCTACTTTGGGGGCTTAAAGTCTGTAAAGAATACCGCTAGACCCCACACCCTAAGCCTCAAACCCCTAAACCCCAAACCCCAAACCCTAAACCCTAAACCCTAAACCCCAAACCCCAAACCCTACTTCGGGCCCTTTCGAGCCTTACGGTTTGGGACCCTGTCAGGATGAGGCGAAGGCCCGAACTGGGGGCTTTTTCAGTGAAGCCCAGGAATCAGAATCTGCTGGTGTTTGGGGTTTAGGGTTTGGAGTTTAGGGTTTCGGGTTTAGGGTTTAGGGTTTAGGGTAATAACCCTAAACCCGTTACCCCTTTCACCTTCATAACCCTGACTTCTTTACGCAAAACCCATGGCTTACCTATACACTCACAGCAACGTACCAGACCTAAACTTTCAAATCCGCCAGCCTGTGCTCCATAATGTGAAGCCAGCATTGCAAGTCATGAAAACCTATAATCCGACGCAATCAACGGTTTAAGATTTTAAAGATTCGGGTTTAGGGTTCAGGTTTAGGTTTCCTCAACCCCACACGGGCCCAAAACCCCAACCCCGAACCCCTGAACCCTAAAACAAAGCCCCAAACCGTCAGGAGAGGCCCTAAACCCTAAACCCTAAACCCTAAGCCCCAACCCTTAACCCTCCAGACCCTTAGCATCCTCCTGGGTTCCGTCCGGTAGTAAAGGTGGCATCGGCCGCGACTTCAAGGCGCCCCGAGATTGTTCTTTGTTGATATTGTTTAGGGTTCAGGGTTTAGGGTTTAGGGTTCAGGGTTTAGGGTTCAGGGTTTAGGGTTCGGGTTTAGGGTTTAGGGTTAGGGTTTAGGGTTTAGGGGTTTTGGAGTTTCGGGGTTTAGGGTTTAGTTTTTGTTTTTTTTGTTGGGGGGGGGTTGGGGTTAATTGGGGGGGGGGGGGGGGGGGGGGGGGGCTGGGGTTTAGAGTTTCATATAGGGGCCTTGGCAGTTTGGGGGGCTATGATAGTATCAGTATATAGTAACCGCAAGGGAGTATTTCTTAGTAATTGTTGACAACTGTATCTAGATTGTAAAGCCTTTGTGGTTCAGGGTTTAGGGCTTTTACGTTTGCCCTTAACGGGAAAGCCCTAACGGACCCCGAAAGGAACTACATTGGAGTCTTCAGGCAAGTTGTTTACAAATTACGTTTGTGGTCTTTGTCTTGTTGTTCTTTAGTGGGATTGCTAGGGTCTTTTTCAACATGTTTAGGCGTCTCGGGTTTTTAGGGATTGTGTTTTTTTCCAGTTTTTAGGTTCCGGTGTTTGATTACTTTGGGGTTGTAGGGTTTAGGGGTTTAGGGTTGGCTTTAGGTGTTTCTCTTGTTTTTGGAAGTACGCGGTTTGAAAGTCTAGAAAGTTGCGAAAGCGCAGGTTTTGGTTGTTTAGGGTTTAGGTTGTTGTGACTCTTTGGTGCTTGGGGGTTTGAAAGTTTAAGGCATTGCATGCTTCTCGGGTGGATTATATAAGTTTTAGATAGCTTTTGGCTGTATGCTTCATTGTAAGGGTTGGCTTCTGGATGCTTGAGTTCTAGGTGTGTCTGCATGGTGCTCAGGGTTTAGGAGCGTTTGAGGTTTAGTTTAGGTTTAGGGTTTAGAGTTTAGGGTTTAGAGTTTAGGGTTTTGAGGTTTGGGGTTTAGGGGTCGGGGTTCAGGGCCCGCTCAATCGAGTCAAGATCTTGGGAGCCTGTATTTGATGTCGAGCGGTGCTTCCCAGAACCCTGAACCCCAAAGCCTCCAATTCAATAAAGACTAAGCCCTAAACCCTTATAAGCCCCTAAGCCCAAACCCTAAACCCCAAACCCTAAACCTTAAACCCTAAATCCCGAACCCCAAGCCCTAAACCCTAAACCCCAAACCACAAACCCTAAACCCCGAAACCCTAAACCCCAAACCCTAAACCCCAACCCCTACACCCGAACCCCAAACCCTACACCCTAACCCCAAACCCTACACCCCAACCCCAAACCCTACACCCAAACGCCAAACCCCAAACCCTAAACCCCAAACCCTAAACCCCAAAACCCTAAATCCCGAACCCCAAGCCCTAAACCCTAAACCCTAAACCCTAAACCCCGGGTTCCTTGAGCGCCTCAGGTGGTCTACATGGCGCCCATGAAGGCTTTGGCCATGGCCTAAGCATCTCAAGCTGTTTAAGGGAGGGTTTAGGGTTTAGGGTTTAGGGTTTAGGGTTTAGGGTTTAGGGTTTGGGGTTTAGGGTTTAGGGTTCAGGGTTCAGGGTTCAGCGTTTACGGTTTAGGGTTTAGGCTTGTCTGTTGGGGGGGCATGGGCCTTGTCGGTAACTAAGTCTGCATACCATGAGTCCCTTTCGTTGCCTTGTATGAGGTCGGTGAGGTCTCCGAGAAGTTCCAGCAGCGCTCGTCTCCCCAGCTTGCCAGCCTAATCCGTAAACCCTAAACCCGAAACCCTACAGGTGTGCAGCGTGTCTTTACGGGCGCCACGACCCCACAGCCGCCGGGGGGCGGGTTGGGGGGGGGGGGGGAGAGGAACTTCCTTTATGCGTAGGTTCGCGAACACTTGACCGATGCCCCAACAAAGCCTTCTGGCTAAGGGCTGGGACCACTGGGAGTGAACGTCGCCGAGCTGACCGGGGACGGGCGGGCGAGATTAAGTTGGGTGTAATGTTTTTGTGAATACGAGGCCTAGGGTGAAGGTGTTTAGGGTTGCACGCGCCCACTTGCAAGCCCTATCTAACGCAAGACCCAAAACGCTAAACCTTCAAACCTTTAATTCTTATACGTCCCTGGCCTAGACTTTACAGGGTGTAGCTGTTCCTACGCTTGTGTTCTCCGACATTTCGGTGTTGGCAACTTGAGAGGTAGGGCGGGGTGCTTGGGATTTAGGGTTTCGAGGGTTTAGGGATAGGTGGCTTGCAATTGCCAACTAGAAGCCTACGCTCCAGCCCCCCCAAACCCTAAGCTAAACCCTAAACCCTACACCCTAAACCCTAAAGCCTGAGTCCTAAGATATTGGTTCACCCTGACATGAACCCTCTTTGTCGCCACAACAGGACATGAACCTCACAAAGAAGGAGCTGGAGCAGGCAAAGCCGCGAACGCCAAAACCACTAGAGCCCCTGAAGCCCCGAACCCTTGGACTCTACCCGAAACCCTAAACCCAAAGCCCTAAACCCTGGCCCTAAACCCTAAACCCGTAGAAGGCCACGAAGAAGGGACGCTAGTCGTGCCACCAAGCGGTCAACCTGCGCTGGCGTGCATCTGGCTGTCAAGTCACTGAACCACAAGAACCCATGGCCTGAACGTGCTTCCTATATTATGAAGGGTTTAGGGTTTAGGGTTTAGGTTGCGGGCGCAAGCGTATAACAACATGGCACACGGACCCTCGGGGTTGGGGGCTTCGTTTAAGGCTTAGCAATTTCGGGTTTGGTCTGGGATCCACTTGGCCTTTAGGTGTCACCGCGTCGCAAGAGTGTTAGGGTAGTTACATGGTCCCTTAGTATGGGCCCTTAACCTTATATACCCCTAACTTAAATGCCCTATACAAATTAAGGGCCCACACATCAGAACCCTTTATAAAGAAGGTTATGGACCATATTAAGGACCATGAATCTACCCTTTAGAAAGAGATCCTCCCCAATACACGAACCCCCTTTAAACCCGCGCCCGAATCCACACCACAGCTTGAGTCGAGATCTCCCTTGAGGGGTCTCAAGACTTTATTTAGGGTGCAGGGTTCAGGGTTTAGGGTTCAGGGTTTAGGGTTTAGGGTGTAGAAATTAGGCTTGGGGTTTAGGGTTTAGGGCACCGAGTTGGAGCGGAGGGTTTCTCGATCCTTGTGACATCGAAGCAGTCGACATAGGGGCTATAGCCTGTGACATCAGCCAGGTCCACGTCATCGTGACGGTCCCTGAAAAGTGGGTGGGGGCACCCAGTTCAACAGAAGATCCCAGGGGGACGGGTGTAGGGGTTAGGCCCGCACTCTTCCTACCCTAAACCCTAAACCCCAAACCCTAAACCAGGGTTTAGGGTTTAGGGTTTGGGGTTTAGGGTTTAGGGTTTGGGGTTCTGAGCTTGAGCCAGACCGGCGCAAGCCACGAGCGCTGGGAGTATCTCCTTTGCCTGCTTTGTGGGAAACTCGCAGCTCAGTGACTGCAAGCCATGTTACCCTTCTACCTTAATATAGCCCCTAGATACCCTGATAAGAACCCCCTTACAAAGCAGAAACTCAGAAACCCTACTTAAAGAGACCACCAGCCCATATAGGGTATGGGTGTTGGGGTTGGGGCCATTTGAAGCAGGGTTTGCATTTCTGTTTTTGGCGAGTGTATATAAGGTTCCTTGCTAATATTGGTGAGTGTATACATTGGGTGCCCTGTTGGGGGTACAAGAAATATAAATCCTACTTCACACGTGCCCCCCGGGGGCCTTAAATCCAAGTTAAATTCATGCTCAACTGTTTTGTTCCTGTTCGCAACCGAAATCTGGAAGACAACCGGAGGGTTTAGGGCGGTTTAGGGTTTAGGGTTTAGGGTTTAGGGTTTAGGGTTTAGGGTTTAGGGTTTAGGGTTTAGGGGTGGTGTTGTCCCGGCTGCTCTTGCCATCCTCAGGATGTCATGACGCGCAACACTGCATGCGGAGGTGGACAGAGACTTGCCATGCAAGAGGGGTCCAGTTACTGGAGCTTCATGGTACTAAACCCTAAACCCTAAACCCTAAACCCTAAACCCTAAACCCTAAACCCTAAAAAACCCAAAAACCCTAAACTGCACAACCCGTCGAGAACCACGTTAGGGTTGGTCATTGAGAGACTTATACCAATCTTGGACTAGACAGGGGTAGGTTTCAGCATATTTTTGTAAACCTTTATTGCCTTTTATCCCCTATAGAATGCTTAGAACGCCATAAAAACATGTTTCCTAGGACCCCCAAACCTGCATTCTGTTAAGCTGTGTAACCCTAACCCCTAACCATTTTGTCTCTTTGGGTTTAGGTCTTACTGTGTAAGGGTGTAGCGTTTTGGAGTGTTTGGTCTGGAGGGTGGTGGTTGGGTAGTATGCAGCCGAAAGCCAAACACTTCATGCGGTGAGGGGCTAGATCTGGAGTGATTGATGCCTTCAGCAAACAACAACCATGTCGCCAAGGAGCGATGACAGCTTGCAAAAACTTGTGCAGCCTGCTCCTCAGTCCTCTTCAGGTCTTTACACCCTATATCTATGTCCCTCTATTATGAAGCATTCCTTTTTTTTGTACATTGTTTGCATATCATCGTCCATGATCGTACGACTGGAACTACGTATTCCGAGGAGGTGTAGGGGAGGGCCGGGGAGGGGGAGTCATCTTTCCCTAAACCCTAATACTGGCCCAAAGCATCTTGACTGGTGATGAGCGACATTCTTGTGCAGCAAATGCATTTCTCCCTGAAAAGCCCCCCAAAGCCCTGAAACTCTGAACTTCCTAAACCCTGTAAGCTGAAACGCAGGCTCTGGGGATGAGTATTCCAGGGCTTTGGGGCCCAGCAGCCTTCCTACGTCAGGATTTTGGGGCCATGTTGAGCCTATACCCTAAACCCCCAAAACCCCAAAAACCCCCAGACCCCAAACCCCAAACCCCAAACCCCAAACCCCAAACCCTAAACCCTAAACCCTAAACCCTAAACCCTAAACCCTAAACCCTAAACCCTAAACCCTAAACCCTAAACCCTAAACCAGCAAGCAGGCTCATCATCATTGACGAAGTCCACCTTCTGAACGACGACCGCGGCGCGGTGATCGAGACCGTGGTGGCGCGCTCCTTGCGCTTCCAGGCAGGGGGGTCTTCTGTGGAACCCTCAACCCTCAACCCTCAGCCCTCAACCCTCAACCCTCAACCGTCAACCGTCAACCCTCAACCCTCAACCCTCAACCCTCAACCCTCAACCCTCAACCCTAAACCCTAAACCCTAAACCCTAAACCCTAAACCCTAACTAACCCTTCAACCTAAGCTTTTCTACGCAACGCCCCCGACTTTCCTTAAGAGTCCATGTGCCTCATTCGTTTAAGGCATTTAGGGTTTAGGGTTGAGGGAAGTTCGCGAGCCCCAAACCCTAAACCCCAAACCCTAACCCCTAAACAAACCCTAACCCCTAAACCCTAAACCCCAAACCCTAACCCCTAAACTCTAAACCCTAAACCCTAAACCCTAACCCTAAACCCTAAACAAACCCTAAACCCTAAACCCTAAACCCTAAACAAACCCTAAACCCTAAACCCTAAACCCTAAACCCTAAACAAACCCTAAACCCTAAACCCTAAACCCTAAACCCTAAACCCTAAACCCTAAACAAACCCTAGACCCTGAACCTTGGCGTAGGAGACCAGTGGCCAACCCGTGCGCCGGGCCCACGGTGTCAGTTGCGGGACTGGGGACGGAACGTGCTGAGGAATCAAGCCTGAGTTAACCCCAAACCCTAAACCCTAAACCCAAACCCTAAACCCTAAACCTCTAACTGCAGAGACTTCATAGGCCCGAAGGACCCCAACTGGAAAGCCCTGACAACCCCAAACCCTAAACCCGAAAAGCCAAAAACCCGAAGCCTAAACCGCAAACTCCCAATCTCCCCGAAGATTCAGGACACAGGCAACAAAGTGCCGAGGCCATGAATTTGAAACCCGAATCCCCAAATCCAGGTTTTACGTGCACGGTTGTAAACCCTAAACACAAACCGTAAACCCTAAACCCTAAACCCCAAACAGACTTGGTTCTGGAACCCCGAGAAAGCCACACGTCCGGATCAGCAGAATGATCGACCATTCTAGGGTCGAGGCTTTTGGGATTTCGGGCTTGAAGAGATTTCAGGGTTTAGTTTAGGGCTTAGGTATTTGAGGGATTGAAGAGTTTTCAGGGTTCAGTTTAGGGATTAGGTGTTTTTAGAGGTTTGAAGAGTTTTTAGGGGTTGGGTTTGGGGCTTAGGTATGTTCAGGGGTTAGGGTTTGTCATGATTTAGGATTTGTCGCCCTGTGTGACCAGCGAACCGATTGCCCACGGTTTAGGAGGTAGGTTCATCTTCTTGGGCTGTAGAAGATCTTGACATTGACATGTGGGGGGCGTGGTCCCATATATCACCACTGTTTGCTTTCGAACCCTTCAAAAATGGAAACACTTAATACCTCTTTTACCCTTGCAAGGAAGAATATCTTTTTATTTTGGGCAGGCTCTTAAGACAGCATGAGTCCTCTGCGAAAAGAAATCTGAAGCCCTGCACTCCGAACCCTAAGCGCACAAGTGGCTTAGCTCGCCACTTCCAGCCCAAGGATCCCAACAGAGCATTCCATACCCTGGAAGAGTCCAACGTGGTTCCTTTTGGAGTCTGGTAGGGCTTTTCCATTAAGGGCTGTAGTAAGCTACCCGCAAAGGAACTACTTTGTAGACTACGGTGACCCAGGAATGTTTTTCGAGTTTGAGCTGTAACTGGTGCGCCCACAGTGGAAGCTCCTGAGCAGTTCTAAGCTTGAAGGAGCATAGCTTGAGATGTTCCTCCTTGCTAGCAGTCCTTAATAGGGATTCTAGTGCCCCCCCCCCCCCCCTAATTATGATATTCCATATGAAGGACTCTTAGTGAAGGGGGGAAACATACCAAAGTATAGCCTTTAGGGTCGAGGCTCGAGGCCCTCAGTCTGAGGAGTAGGGTTCAAGGGTTTTACGTTTCAGGTGTGTAGGCTTGTAGAGCCCAAAAACCCGAAACCTCTAACCTTAACCCCGACTTTCCCATCAGTTTTCTCAAGTAGAGCCGACAAAGCCTGAGCCTGAGCCCCAAAACCCTATGTAAACAATCCTTCGGGCTCCACCCAGGCATCGCAGCGCTGTCTGCCACGCTGCCCAACTACCAGGACTTCGCGTGGTTTCTCACTAAACCGTAAACCCTGAGGTTTTAGGGCTTATAGGGCTTAGGGTTTAGGGTTTAGGGTTTTCAGGCTACTCGTTTCGCCCCCTAGCCCGGAGGCTCCACAAGTTTAGGCCCCGAAGCCCCAAGCCCTGTCAAGCCCAACCCCCCAGAAAAACACCCAAAGCCCTGACCCTCTATGCCAGGCCTGTAACCACCAAGACCCCCCCCAAACAACCTTAATACCCCCCGCACAAACAACCTTAAAACCCCTAACACACTGAAACCCTAAAACCCTAAAACCTGGAAACCCTGAACCCTGCATCCTAAACCCCCTGAACCTCAAACCCCCCAACCCTGCAGTCGAAGTTGTCCGGCAACCCTTAAAGAAGTCTTCGCCCTCAGACCTACACGCTCCAAAGCCCTGACGCTTTGTTTGGGTTGGTTTAGGGTTTAGGGTTTAGGGTTTGGGGTTTGGGGTTTGGGGTTTGGGGTTTAGGGTTTGCCCTTATCCAAACATTACCTTATTGACCCCTGGAATGTTGAAAGAGCCAACAAGTTCACCCCAGAACATCCAAGCTAGGACGTGGCCTCCTTCTTGCGAGTGGAGGGAGAGCGCTCAGCTCAGAGCCCGCCAGGTTTGAGGTCTTAGGCGTTTAGACTTTAGGGTTTGGGGCTTAAGGATTTCGGGTTAAGGGACATATCATCGGAAGCCCACTGAGAAACCCTACATCTTAAGCCCTGCCGAAGGATACATGTACCCATATTGTACATCGATACCTCGACCTCTTTGGGCTCAATCTAAGTTTCACTTTAAATCTACCTGGACCTTTCAGAAACCCGAAAAAACCCAAAAGCCAAACAGTACACCGAAAGCAACCTACCAATGACCCACGTCTGCTTTTACGGGAAACCCTAAACTCCCTACAACCCTAAACCCCGAAAACCCTAAACTCCCGAAAACCCTAAACTCCCCACAGCCCCAACCCTAAAGCCCTTAACCCTGAAACCCTACAACCCTAAACCTAAAGCCCTAAACTCCTAAACCTAGAACCCTAAACCCTACAACCCTAAAATCCTAAAACCCTAAACCCGAAAACCACAACCTCCTAACCCCTAAAACCCGAAACTCCCAAGGAACCTCTTCTACTCAGCAAAGCCCAACCGCACACCGAAAGCAACCCTAAACCCTAAACCCTAAACCCTAAACCCTAAACCCTAAACTCCCTAACACCCTAAACCCTAAGACCCTAAACTCCCTGACGCCCTAAACCCTAAGACCCGAAACTCCCAAGTTCCCAAGGAACCTCTTCCACTCCCCAAACCCTAAACCCTAAACCCTAAGACCCTGAAATCCCAAGAAACCTCTTCTACTCCCCAAACCCTAAACCCTAAACCCTAAACCCTAAGACCCTAAACTCCCTAAACTCCCTAAATTCCCAAGGAACCTCTTCTACTTCGATTCCTCCTACCGGCCCATTCCGCTTGAGACGTCCTTCCTTGGCATCACAGAGCTCGAGTCCCCAGCAGGTTTTTTTTGGGGGGTTAGCGTTTAGGGTTTAGGGTTTAGGGTTTAGGGTTTAAGGTTTAGGGGTTGAGGGCTTAGGGTTTTGGGGTTTAGGGTTTTAGGTTGGTTTAGGGTTCAGGGCTCAGTGTTTTGGGGCGGGGTTGCGAATTTGTTGTATCTTTTGGAACTTCGCGGCTCGGGGGTTTTACGGTAAGGGGTTTGTGGTCCTGAGAGGTTTTGAGGGGGTTTAGGGTCTACTACTTCTGTTGCAATTTCCCGCTGTTTGGGTAGTTGGGGTGTACCCGAAACGCAAACCCTTGACCCTCAACTCTTAACCATAGCGCGCATACACATTTTTTAGGGGGGATTGCGGTCGCAGCCGAATTTAGGGTTTAGGAGGTTTTGGGGAGGCTTATAGGGTTTTAGGGTTTAGGGTGTAGCCCCCCCTATCAAGGAGCCCCAAAACCGGGTTCATCTGTACCAAAATCATAGGCGAAAACCCAGACTGGGTCGAGGGCCTCGACTACTCACCCCTAGCTCCAGGACCAACCGCGTGAAGCATCTCGCAAAGCTGAACGAGATCTGCTACGAAGCCGTGGTGGAGCAGGTCCGAAAAGGCACCAGCCTGACCCAGAGACGGATAAAGAGTGTTGCGTGTTATTATCATAAAACTCTGCACAAAGTTTAAGTTCATGGTACAGTAATGGTAAAGTTTTTTGGGTGGCGTGTGTGCTTGTCAAGTCTTTGTCATATTCAATATACAGGTGTAGTATGTGTCTGCTAATTCTTTATTCTAATGAGCAAGTCGCTTGCGCATGCCGGTGGCTGCGGGAGTTAGCATCTCCTCCTCGACACACTCCTAGCACCCTAAACCCCCAACCCCTGAGAACTAACTCCCAGATTTTATGGCAAAACCCTAAGGCCACCAAGTCATGGTCTTCGTACACTCTCGGGGGGACACCTTCAAAACAGCCTGGCCCTCGAATCAGAAGGTTCAGGGCTCGAATTCGTTGGGGCTTAATTTCAAGTGGTGTAGGGGCATCGGATCTAGGTTTAAGCAGTCGAGCCTTCGCGTTATTTGGCATGTCAGGTTGTTTTCCTGTAGATTTGGGGTTCTTGACTGTTCTGCTTTGATTGGGTTGAGGTTACCCTTGCACAAACCACATTTGTGGCAGCTTCCTTCGTTCAACAGAGTTCGGATCCCATTCAAAAACAAAGCTCAGCAACAAGTCGCCTTTGCTCCCCCTAGGTTGCGGGAGCACCGATTTGGACTGCAGAGTTTAGGGTTTAGGGTTTAGGGATAAGTAAGATCTTCTTGAGGAGTGCTTCCACCACCTGTGCTACCCCCATCTGGCCTCATAGCCTTTTGAAAGTGACCTAAACCCTATACAAACTCCCAGCAGGCCTGTGTCTTAGATCAAGGTGTTTGCCAGCAGGTGAGGTGCGTGTTCCCTTCTTTGACAGGAATGTAGGTCAGGCGGGCTCCCCGAATGCTGAACACTACAGAGGAACAGATAAGGTGTGTAAACTTTAAACCCTCGACCCTAAACCCTAAACCTTCCACTTCAGAACCTTTACATAAGAGGCTGTATAGGTACTCGAGGTAGGCCATGAAGTCTGGCTGTGGAGCTGAGGCGTCAGCTTTGGCACAGATGGCTCAGGACTGGACTTCCTAGACCCCCTACATCCGAAAGCCGAGATCCGGTTGAGGGTTCAGGGTTCAGGGTTCAGGGTTTAGGGTTTGGGGTTTAGGGTTTGGGGTTTAGGGTTTGGGGTTTAGGGTTTGGGGTTCAGGGTTTGGGGTTTAGGGTTTGGGGTTTAGGGTTTAGGGTTTGGAAACCAAGTTGAGGGGGATGCAACTACATGAAACAAGAGGGATCCCAACCTTTTTGGATGACACATCTGGTCCCTCCCCCCCCCCCCCCCCCGGCCCCCCAAGGTTCCATGACTGTGATGTGACTGTTATGGGGTCCCTGTTCTGGGGTTTGGGGCACATCCGTAATCCTTGCTGAAGGAAGGCTCGGTTTGGCTTAGGGCTTGCATGCTACTTTGATATCAAGTACCTACTGTTGTGTGTCTGGAGTCTAAAGCTGAGGGTTCAGACCTAGGTGCTGGAAAATGAGTCGGCGACGTCATACCTGTTTTTTAGGGTATGATCAACCCTCTTCCAAAAACAGTCCTTTCCCCCCGAGCACCTCCTTAGAGTAGCGGGGACTCAAGGACTAGTCGCGCCCAAGAAGCCTGATTCATGGGACGCAACCTTGGACCCCTACGGTGGTACCCTTGGGATCCTCCAAGGGAAAATACAGGCCGCCATATTAGGAGCATATTCAGGGCCGCCTTGAGGGGTACAACCTCGGGGGTTCGAGTCTTAGTCCCTTGAATGATCTCTTGGACCCTGGGCAGGGACCGGGAGTAGGCCCTTTTTCATTCTTTTAGGGTTGGGGTTCCCTTATAATCCCCTTAACACCAAAAAGGGAACCCTTTTTTATTCCTAGGTTACTCCCGGGTCTAGTGGGGTATCTTGCAGGTATTGGGCATGGCAGGTTTCACGCGCTTCAGGACTCGAGGTATCATCTTGGCCCATTTCTGGTCGGTTGTTCCCCCCCCACCCCAATGCCCAATTACTGGCCCCTGATATACCCCCTACATATGCCCTACAGAAGTCCCTTTCTGAAGTGCTTCTGGAAACCAGGCTGATGGACGAAGGGTTCAGGGTTCAGGGCTATAGTTCATGCGAGCAGCAACTTCTACAAGGACAACAACCACCAGGGCCATTTCGACATGCGCCCGCTGGCTGCAAAAACGAGGGATTCAGGTTCGAGGAAGGTACGGACCTAGTGGGGCGTAAGGGAGCAGGGGCCCATAATCCAACAAGAGCAGGCCCTTTCCAGGAAAATCCCTAGACAGGTCACCTCCTTGAATCCTTATTGAAGGTTTATGGCTTCGGGAATTTGCATACAAGCCTGTTGGGGGCTTGGGGTTGTTTAGGGTTTATAGTGCAAGGTCCAGGGTTCTATTGTTTCAGAGATCCTGTCTTGGCCACAACGAAGCGTGACAAGATGCTTTCTGCGTCGACAAGCTTTTCCGCTATTCATATACATTGGTGTTTGTTTTGTCTACCCAACATGCCTGAGGCACGCACGAGAAGTACTCCTACTTCCAGCAGCAGGCAGGACCCTGAACCCGAGATTCACCCTAAACCCTGAACCCTAAAGCCCTTTATGAACCCAATTCATGAACCCGAGACTCACGCTAAACCCAAATTCCTAAACCTTCAGCCCTAAACCCTGAACCCCATAGCCCTTTATGAACCCTAAGCTCTACAGCTCACCTTGAACACAAATCATCCTAAACCCTATGTGAAAGCCCTGTTGACTCAGTACATGGGGGGTTAGTAAGGTGGGTTCTGGTATTACTGCAGGGCTTATAGGAGATACCAAGTAGGCTTCCGAAGTCAGAAAAAAACTGCTAAGTAACGCCCAACATCTTGCCCGGAACTCCTCAAGAGGAAGATCGCCCTGCGCTCAAAAAGACCCTGGACCAAGAGTTGCCAACAAGGGTGGGTTTTAGAGTTTTGGGGTTAGGGTTTAGGGTCCCCAATAAATGCGCCTGAAAGAAAAACAAGCAAGCTGGAAACCCTGGCGAGTCAACTCTAACTCTAAACCCCAAACCCGGTTTAGGGTGTTCAGGGTTCAGGTTTTAGGGTTCAGGGTTTAGGGTTTAACCCTAAGCCCTAAACTCAAAAGCCCAAGACTGCAACATTTCCAGGTGTTTTTTGCCAAGCCCGCCAGGAGCTCTAACAAGCCCCCAGGTTTTGCTTACTTAGAGATGCTCGTTTGGCTTTCGAAGTCCACGTAGGGTTTAGGGTTTGGGGTTTAGGGTTTAGGGTTTAGGGCTTAGGGTTTAGGGTTTAGGGTTTAGGGCGTCTTAGTATCCATCCTCCAGAAACGTATTCGAATCCCCATAACCCATCTTACTAACCCTACTTACTATGGCAAGAGGGGCTTCCCCGTGGGGTTTAGGGGTTTCTTAGGGGGTTTTTAGGCGGTTTTAGGGTTTGGGTTTTTTGAGCTTAGGGGGCTTTCAGGGTTTGGGGTTTTGGGATTTTGGGGTAGGGTTTTTTTGGGTTTGTTAGGGCCCCTCAAGCCCTACGTTGAGGCTCAATTGTGGCACACCCAACTTCAAACCCCAAGCCATCTACAATTTGGCCTTAGAGCGCACGACACAGGGTCCTGCTTTTGCCCTAAATCCTATTCCCTAAACCCTAAACCCCAAACCCTATCGCCCTAAACCCTAAAAGGGGTGTCGTGTGGGCAGGTTCAGAAGTCCAGGAACAAGCAGGTGCAGCTGATTTTCGAGTCAGGCTTCGGCATCCACCATGCGCCATCCCTGCATTTGCTGGTTTAGAGTTTAGAGTTTAGGGTTTAGTGTTTAGGGTTCAGGGTTTAGGGCTTAGGTGCAGCTCTAAAACCCTACCCCGAAATCCCGAAGCCCCAAACCCTTAACCCGAAAACCCAAAACACCCAAAACCCCCCTTACCCCCTTAAACCCTCAAACCCTCAAACCCTCAAACCCTCAAACCCTCAAACCCTCAAACCCTCAAACCCTCAAACCCTCAAACCCTTAAACCCTTTAACCCTTTAACCCTTTAACCCTTTAACCCTTTAACCCTTTAACCCTTTAACCCTTAAACCCTAAGCCGTAACCCTGAAAACCCTAGCCCTAAACCCTAAAACCCGAATCCCTCAAACCTAAAGCCCTAAAACCCTAAACTGAAAACCCTACCGCCCTGCAACCCTAAACTTCTCATCCCTTATGGGTATAGTGCTTGGGGTGTGAGGGTTTGAAGCCTATAGGCTTTCTTCACCCTGAAGGTTCGAAGTACTTGAAGGTTCAGGGTTCTTATGACCTAATCATAGGGTTCAACTCGGGTTTAGGGTTTAGGGTTTAGGATTTAGGGATTGTGAACTTGTGTATTTGGAGATCTCATTGTCCTGCCGGTAAGTACCCATGTAACGTAGGGCTGAGGGCCGCGGGGTTTGGGACCGCAAGCCACTCAAACTCACACTTCCACGGGGTTCTCTCCATCCGAATCGAAGACCCTTTGGCGTTGCTGCCTGCATGCCGGGCAGAAGTCATCGGGGAACATCGTGACATCAGAGCTGCCCGACCACAGAGCAGGGCAACGTCCTCTGTTGCACGTGCACTGACCAACAATTCCAGAGCTGTGGGCGGTTTCGTGACGCGGTGATCAATGACGTGGAAGTGTTGGTTTTCTGTGTACGAGTACAGGCAATCTCCGGCGCAAGACGCATCAAGTAGGAGAGCAGGGCAGTGTCTACAAGTAGGCATCACCTACATAGCCCTAAACCCGTAAGCCTAAACCCTAAACCCTAAAACCCTAAACCCTAAACCCTACACCCTAACCTAAACCCTAAACTCTAACCCTAACCCTACCCCTACATGGTCCATTTGTTCAAGCCCCGCGACGACACCGAGGCCGGTATGCTGCGCTCAGACCGCACGCTTACCGAGAAGATGTTCCTGGCTGGCGCAACCCGGCGAGTTCTTGATGAAGCCCAAACTCCTGCCCAAATCTCTAGTCTAGGGGTTTAGGGTTTGGGGTATAGGGTTTCGGGTTTACGGTTTAGGGTTTTGGGTTTACGGGCCCAAACTCCTGCCAAATCTCTAGCCTCAAGCACCTAACACCCCACTTAGGAGCTCTTTTGCCTTAGGAAGTCGCCTTAGTATCCCCTAGAAGCCCCTAGAAGCTCTACTATATTCCCCATCACCCACCTTGCTAACCCTATTTAATTAATAAGTCCAAAGGGCTTCCCAGCACCCCGTAGCGCCCCCAGATCCCTCGAGTTTACAAGGCTTGCCCAAAGGGTCCTACGTACCTACATAGTACAAAGTAGGGGTTGCCGTAAAAGGAATTACTATCATGGTTTGGGCAAGTGTCTCCCATATAGGTACTTAGGACCCTTTGGGTTGGAACATCTCTCAGCGACTACGAGCATACAGTAAAACATCGAGAATCAGGGGTGGGGGTGGGGGGGGTGGGGTGGGGCAGGCTTTGGGGTTCACGGCTTTCGCTGATCCCTATACCCGAACCTCCTACCTTATCCCCCCGCCTTTCCCCCCCCCGACTTCCTCCCGCCCCTCTCTTACGTGGAAGCTCTTTTGACTTAGTCAGTTGGGTTAGTAAGGTGGGTTATGGGGATTCTAATCGGACTTATACCATGTAGACTTACAAACTGAAAAGACCTTCTAAGTACCTTAAGCAGGAATCGTCTCCAAGCCAGATCCAACCTCGGCAACGCATCCCTGGGACACCGAACACCAACTTCAGCAGAATCTCTCAGGCTTTAAGGGCTCGGCCCCAAGATAGCGCCCAAAAATCCTGAGAAATTCAAACGGAGGCCTGTGGGCCCAACAGCCCCCGAGAATGAGAGTGCTCAGAGCCTCCAGGGGTACAAAAGAAAATCCGACACTTTCGCATCCTCAGGTCATCCCAGTGCTCTGCTGCACGGCGCCGGGCTTGGGCCTAGCCCTGAACCCGAATTTAAACCCCAGACTCTAAGCCTAGGATGCCCAGTAGTGCCCTTATTCCCTTTTTGGGGGCTCTAGGTTCCCCTATAGACCCCTTTAAGCAAAAAAGGGCACCCTTTTTAATCCTAGGTTACTGGGCAACCTAGAAGCCCTAATCAATGTTAAACATCGCCGATTCCCTAGAAAACTTCAGCTTTCCAGGTCGTCGCCTGAACTAAACCCTAAACCCTCAACCCTCAACTCTCAACCCCAATCATGTACACGGTTTAGGGTTTAGGGTTTGGGGTTGTTTAGGGTTTAGGCCTTGGGGTTGTTTAGGGTTTAGGGGTTAGGGGTTGTTCAGGGGTTTTTGCTGAGGGTTTAGGGGCCCTAAGACCCGAGTAACTCAACCCTAAACCAACACCCTACAGGCCCTCATGGGATTCTCTAAATGAGAGTCCCTTTTGGGCCAGAGATGACCTAAGAAGACAAGGCATCCCCAATGCCATACAGGCCCTCAGCAATCACTTAACAAAGTAGCAAGCTTGAAGGGCAAAGCGGCTTAGGGTTTTGGGGTTTAGGGTTTAGGGTTTAGGGTTTAGGGCTTAGGGTTTAGGGTTTAGGGTACAGTTTAGGGTTTAGGGTTTAGGGTTCTTCCAACTAACAAAGCCAACTCTTAAGGCCCGAACGGCCCCTAGGCTTCTGTTTGCTTAAGAGGCACCCAAAAGTAAAGAGTAATAATCCCTTCATTGCTCTTTTCAGGAAGACTGCGTTTTTTTTTTGTAGGGGGTTCTTGTAGGCAAGAAGTAGTTTAAAAAATATCGTACTTCATATCCGCTGCTAGAACTGCCATGGCCAGTCCAGGCGACACTTGCCTGGGGCGTCAACTTGCCCGCAAGGAGCTCGTGGGCATTTAGCCCTACACCCTACACCCTAAATCTTAAGCCCTAAACGGGTTGAGGGTTTAAGAAGCTCAGGGTATCTAGAGGTTTGCGTAGGATTGGTTGAAGTGGTCAGGGCTTCAACCGGGGTTTAAGGCGTTGAAGGGTTTCAGGCGATTTGGGTCTAGTTGTAGGGGCTTTTAGAGGATCTTTTTCAGGATTTTGGCGATTCAGAGGGCTCAGGGCTTCAGCTTTTTGGGTTGAAGGGCTTGAACGTGTTTTGATTTCATGGTCGCTTTAGGGTCTTTCGGGGTGATCGAGTGATTTTGTCAACCTCTGATTCTCCATTGCGCGGGTGTTCGGGATGAAGACGGTTTAGGGTTTAGGGTTTAGGGTTTAGGGTTTAGGGTTTAGGGTTTAGGGTTTAGGGTTTAGGGTTTAGGGTTTAGGGCTGGGAAGTGATCCAGAAAGCGCAGACCCCAAGCCCTGTCCCCTGCAAGCCGCTAAACCCAAAGAGATTGCGTTCAAGCTGCCCAATGCCTGGAAATTTTGTGGGGTAAGACTCCCTAAACCCTAAACCCTAAACCCTAAACCCTAAACCCTAAACCCTAAACCCTAAACCCTAAACCCTAAACCCTAAACCCTAAACCCTAAACCCTAAACCCTAAACCCTAAACCCTAAACCCTAAACCCTAAACCCTAAACCCTAAACCCTAAACCCTAAACCCTAAACCCTAAACCCTAAACCCTAAACCCTAAAACCCTAAACCCTAAACCCTAAACCCTAAACCCTACACGCATGATTGGGTTACTAACTACCCAGGGGCACCCTAAGTCCAAAAAGGATTTCGCTCAAGCTGCCCAATGAGTCAACCCTGCAGTTTCCCCAACCCGCAGGAGTGTCATCATCAAGGGAACCTCCATCTTCGACTCCCAAGCGGGCGGATACAAGGATGTGGGCTTGAAACGCAGGGTCTAACGTCTAGCCCTAAGACTGCTAAGGACCCTTATAATCTGTTCCTTTTGAATGTTCCCATGCAGTTTAGCCCTACGACTGTTAAGGACTCTTAGAATCTGCTCTTTTTGAATTTTTCCATGCAACGCTGTTATGCTATCTTGAGCCTAAGGGTTAAGCATCTGAATCTGGGAGCTGAGGAAGCCATATGTCCCTCCCGGCCCCTGGGTTTAGGGTTTAGGGTTTAGGGTTTAGGGTTTAAGGTTTAGGGTTCCCTCCCCCGGTTTTTCCACGAGGCTAATGCTTAGGAATGTTTGTGGATGGGCTTCAGGGGCCAACCTCGCCCCCTAAACCCCAAAACCCTTTCTTGTTTAGGGTTTAGGGTTTAGGGAATTGAGGGAATGTAGGGAATTCAGGAAATTTGGTGAGGTTAGGGTTTAGGGTTTAGGTTTTAGGGTCTAGGGAATTTAGGGTTTAGGGTTGAGGGTTTAGGGTTTTAGGGTTTAGGGTTTAGGGTTTAGGGTTCAGCACCACCTCTTTCAGGACCTGGGCATCTTGGATGTGCAGCAGATCTTCGGTCGTGCTGGCCGCCCGGGCTTCGACACGCAAGGCAAGGAGTCCCAACTTTTGCAGCTGCCAGAAGCCCGAGCCCTTAGAGGGCGGTTTGGGGTTTAGGGTTTAGGGTTTAGGGTTTAGGGTTTAGGGCTATCAGGACCCAGAGTAAGGCCCTTATTGCGTTTCTTAGGGTTTGGGTTCCCGCAAACAGGCCCTTGAAACCAACAAGGGTTCTCCGTGTTATTCCTTGGTTGTTCTTGGGTCTGGCAGAATGACCGGTTCATTCTTAACCTTCTTGACGTGCGTGTCGTAGCGGGATGGTGTAAACAACAAGGATCCCACAGGAGCAAACCTTTATGTCTGCAGCATGTATCTGCTGGTGGTTGTTATGTATCAGTTTGTGTGCCATATACATGTAGAAGTAAATGCACAATATGTACATGCGTACGCACGCAAGTTCTTACGCACACACACACACACACACACATATATGCCCTTCACTTAAGGGTTGAGGCGTTCAGAGCTAACTCCAGAACCCCCAACTCTAAAACCCTAGACCCCAAACCCCAAACTCCGAAATTCGAAAAAACTCCGAGCCCTAAACTTAAACCGCTTCAGCCCAAAGTCCTTACAAACCCTAAACCTTAAACCCTAAACCCTAAACTCTGTACCCTCAACCCTGAACCCTAAACCCTAAACCCTCAACCCTAAACCCTAAACCCTAAACCCTAAACCCTAACCCCCTCCCATCCCCCAGCTGGCCCTGCTTTCGGCAGGCCATGCCACTTTGCATTGCCGGCCCGCTTTGCTTTGCGGGTCTATTTGCGGGAACATAGGGGTGCCCTTCTTGGAGGGTCCTTTAAAAGGGTTTAGGGTTTAGGGTTTAGGGGTTAGGGTAGGGGTACCCCCATCTTCGGAAATCCCCATTTGGCATTTTGGGCTCTGGGCTAAGGGTGTAGGGCTTAGGGTTGGCTCTGAGGTTTAGAGTTCATAGGAGATTGGGTGACAGGCCACCACGAGTGAGTGAAGCTTTCTCCCCCTCCCCTCCTTCGAGGGCTCGAGCTTCAGCCATCGGTGTGAATCACTGCCCTAAACTCCAAACCCCTAAAGCCTAAACCCCCTGAACACCTAAAGTTTAGAGTGCAAGCTCTTTTGACTTCGTAAGTCCACTTAGTATCCCCTGGACACCCTAGTAGATTCCCAATCGCCCACCTAACTATCCCTAAACCCCTTTTGCTAAGTCAAAAGTTCTGCCCAGTAGGGGTCAGGGTTTCATCGTGCTTTAGGGTTTAGGGTTTAAGGTTTAGGGGTTGTACAGGATTGTTGTGGGTATAGGGAGAGTTGAGGGTTTTAGGGTTTCAGGGTTTTAGTTTTGGGGCTTAAGGATTCTTAGGGTGTTTAGGTTCTTTTAGGGTTTAGGGTTCCCTTTGTATAGGGTTTAGGATTTGGTCTGCAATCCTCAACCCTTCCTCCGACCCTGAGGGTTTAGGGTTTAGGGTTTAGGATTTAGGCCGAAGCCAGGATCACCGAGCACGCCAAGCTCAACACCTACCTGCGATTGCTCCTGTGCGGAGCCACAGGGGGAAGGGGGGGTTTAGGGTTTAGGGTTTAGGGTTTAGGGTTTAGGCTCACCGGGTCCAAGTAGGGCAGGCTCTTTGAATACTTGGTAAATTAAGGCCTATAAACCCACTAAACACCCTAAACACCCTAAACCCTAAACACCCTAAACACCCTAAACACCCTAAACACCCTAAACACCCTAAACCCTCAATAAGCCCTGAAAACGCCCTCAACCGAAGCCCTCCCTAAGGCTTATAGGGTTTAGGGTTTAGGGTTTAGGGTTTTTGGTTTAGGGTTTAGGGGCACCTTTGTGGGACTTTACTGTAACTTTAGATCCTTACCCTTTTTGGGCTACTTGGGTTTCTGATAATAAGGCAGCTAAAGGTTTAATGTTTGGCTACCCTCCTGAGTGCCCTAAACACCCTAAACCCTAAACCCTAAACCCTAAACCCCTAAACCCCTGAACCCCTAAACCCCTAAAACCCCTAAACCCCTAATCCCTAAACCCTAAACCCGAAGCCCTCCCTAAGGCACCAGATGCCCATCGAGTCGAAATTCCTGGAGAACATGGCGAATTCCCTGAATGCCGAGATCGCTGGCGGCCCCGGAGTCGTTGCTCACGTCTTCATCCGGGTTTTTTTAGGGTTTAGGGTTTAGGGTTTAGGTATTAGGACTTAGATCCCTACACCCTAAACCCTAAACCCTAAACCCTAAACCCGATTTTTTTCACCCAGACTTAGACCCACAAGACAGAGGGAGATGCGCCTGAATTGTCGATCTAAACCGCGAACCCTATCAACCTTAAACCCTAAACCCAAAACCCTAAACGGTTTAAACCCTAAACCCAAAACCCTTTACCCTCTAGACCCTTTAAACCCTAAACCCTGAGCTCCGAACCCTATTACCTGAAAAGTGGCTTCCGGTTCTCAGGGTTTAGGGTTTAGGGTTTAGGGTTTAGGGTTTAGGGCTGATTCGGCTCCACGTGGCTGCTTCATTCGATCTCTTTCTTGGATGAGAGGGTGCAGACCGCGCTTGACTGCTAAACTTGAGCACTCGATTTTGCTGGCATGCTGTGGCTGTGCAATGGTGGTGAATGCTGACTAGGGCATGAGGATCAGCCTCCTCAAGCAGGCCTTTGCTTTTCCCTTCCGTAAGCTTCCGTGTTGACAGAGGCCATGAGCCCTGTCAGGTGGCGGCGCTCACGATGCCTGAGCCAAAAGAGGCCTAGGAACAATTTAGCTATAATTCAGCTTTGAGGTCTTTCGCCGTTCGCAGAGAGATGTCTAATGAGTCTAATGATGCCTAGTCAGGAAAGCTCAAGACTTACCCCCAAGCCCAGAACCTTAAGTTCGGGATCCCCATCTAGATGACTGTGCTTTAGGGCTTAGGGTTCGGGTTTAGGGTTTAGGGTTTAGGGTTTAGTTTTTAGGGTTTAGGGTTTAGGGTTTAGGTTTAGGGTTTAGGGTTTACCCCTGAGGGATGGACAAAATGGTTTTCCAAGGTGTCGGGTTAGGCCCTGAAACTTCCTTCCACCAAGCCTTTATCATAGTTGGGTACCACTTTACATGTGTAAAGGGTACCTTAACCCTCCTTAAACCCTATGAGGAATAAAGAATTAAATTTTTCATACGATCCTAACCATGAACTAGAAGCAGTCCACCGCAAGATAAGGCCATGGGCAACGTCTCTTCCGAGAAGGATGCTGCTGACTGGCTGCGCGCGGCACCCAAAGTCTTTTTTCTTTCGCGCTCGCCTAAAGCCTGAAACCCCGCTTGCCTGAACTCTTTTTGAGCCCCAATCCACCCCTAAACCCTAAACTCTAAACCCTAAACCCTAAACCCTAAACCCCACACCCAAAACACCCCAAAACTAACACCCCTTGTGGGCCTGGAGGGCTTGGGGCATTTGTGACTTGCAGCGAATACAAGACAGAGCCCTCACCAACGAATTACCGTAGGGTTTAGGGTTTAGGGTTTAGGGTTAGGGTTTATGCGACTATGGGAGGATGACAGGTGTAGGGTTTAGGCTTTAGCGTGTCGGATTTATGGGAATGCCTCTCTATACTTCTGGCCTTCCGGCGCGTTGCTTCAGAACACGGAGAAGTTTGAAAATGAGCCGGCGCTTCGGATTCCATGTCTCACGGTCTGTTAAGTCAAAAGGCAGCAGCGCGTTGAAGGCTCTGAATATGGAGCCTCCTTGTAGGCCTTAAGCCCTACAATTGGCAATCGCAAAAAGGGTAATGCAGGTGCAGGGGTTGCCTAATCCCCAAACCTATGGTTTAGGGTTTAGGGTTTACGGTTTAGGGTTTTAGGGTTTTAGGGTTTTAGGGTTTTAGCGTTTTAGGGTTTTAGGGTTTTAGGGTTGTAGGGTTTTAGGGCTTTAGGGTTTTAGGGTTTTAGGGTTTTAGGGTTTTAGGGTTTTAGGGTTTTAGGGTTTTAGGGTTTTAGGGTTTTACCCTAAACCCGAATACTAAACTTTCAGTGGGTTGCGCCTGCCCAGGCTACTCCTACCTCTTCGTGCGCTTCTTCCGCACACCGCAGAAGTTTGGTATCACCCAACAGGCCTGATCTGCGCTTAGGATCCATGTACATATATGGTACATAGTCCTAGAGCCCCCTTAGAATTCATTAGGGTTGTAAGAATCTCTCCTGCAGACCTTGGGACATATCCAGGAATTATTTTTGTCATTTATTTGTCATTTTGTTGTCACTTGCTGCTGTCTTTTTGATGCCATTTTTGTGTCGTGTTTGTGTCATTTGTTTGTCATGTGTCAGTAGTATTATAGTATTATTATTGTAAAGGACCCCACAAAAGCGCGCCCAGGCAAAGCCCTCAGAAAGGGTTCATATGGGCCTTCCAAAGCCCTCATGATTGTGGTCCCAAATGCGGCCCAGTTAAGGGACCCACAAAACATGGGCCCAAACTAGCTGACGACAGGCCTCCTGGGGCCTTCAAGGGCCTCAGACACGGCCCACATGGGCCCCCAGAACCGACACTGCTGAGCCCTTGTCCCTCTTCGCACGCGCGCCGCGACGACGACGATGATGAGGACGACGTACATTAGAATTGGAGCAAATGATTGAACAATGCCAGAAGAATGTCAGACCAAATGGCAAAGGGGTCGCCAAATGACAAAAAAATGACAGAGGGGTCGGGACATGACAGCAGAATGACTCCAAAATGACAGAAAAATGACTCCACAAATGACAGAAAAATGACAAACAAATGACTCCAAAATGACAAAAAAATGACTTCCCCTGGGACGGGCGAGGGGACGGTGGGGAGGGTGGAAATTGAAGGAGGCCTCGAGCGGTTGTCGTTTTGGAGTCATTTTTCTGTCATTTTGGAGTCATTTTTCTGTCATTTTGGAGTCATTTTTCTGTCATTTTGGAGTCATTTTTCTGTCATTTTGGAGTTTTTTTTTTTCTGTCTTTTTGGAGTCATTTTTCTGTCATGTCCTGATCTGTCATTTTTTGTCATATGGCCCTCCACCGCCCCCTCCCCCCCCACCCCCCTTCCCCCCCTTCCCCACACGTTGCCATCCCCCAGATCCCCCCAGACTTCCTTCCTTGCTTACGTAAGGCTTACGCCTTTGTTGCAAGTTATCGTTTTATTCATTTTCTGCAAATCACGACGCAGAAAGTGGTGACTCGTGCCTCGTGCCTCGCTTGATCTCACAGGATACCACATAAGTTACCTCCTCCTACTACTACAACCACCACCAGCAGCAGCAGCAGCAGCACCACCACCACCACCACCACCACCGACAACACAATGACAAGAAAATGACAACACAAGAATGATTCATGCAGAAAACGACATAGAAACGACAACAAAATGACAACAGCAGAATGACTCCAGAATGACTCCGAAATGACTGAAAAATGACAAAATAATTTTTTCATGATTTCCAAGACCTACAGGGCCAAGATTCTTACAACATTAGGGTTTGGGGTTTAGGGCTTAGGGATGTACAGTAGCAACCCCCTTTAAAGCCCAAGTATATATACTTTAAATAATGCATGTAGATGGATCCTTTGGGCTTGCTACAGGAGCCCAAAAACAAGTATACTGCACCCCCCCCCCCCCCCCCTAATCAACCCTAAACCCTAAACCCTAAAAGCCCCATATTGGGTGTTGGAACATCTTCCGGGGACCATGGCCCTTAACATTCTCTGCTCTCCTTCAGCCGGTTTCGGGTTTAGGGTTCAGGGTTTAGGGACTAAGGGTAGTTATATGGGCCCTTAATACGGTCCCTCACCTTCTTCAAAGGGTTCTGATGTATGGGCCCTTTTTTGATGTATAGGGTATACAAGGCTATAAGGTGTCCCCTTTCAAGGGGGTTTAGGGTTTAGGGTTTAAGGGACCATGTAACTACCCAGAGACTTCAAGCATGGGTCACGAAGTTGTGAGCCCTTTCTTAGGAACCCGAAACCTAGTTATTTGGGTAGGCTGCTATCAGAAAAAGCTGGGGTTCTTAGGTAACCTACCACAAAAATAGGCTCTGGCTTCTGATGGTTTTTCTACCCGCAGAACCCTCTGCAACCCAGGGTTTTTGGGGTAGGTGTAGGCTGAGGGAGAGGGGATCTCTGAAGGTTCAGAGCTCTGGTTTTGGGGGCTTCGTGCTGGGTTCAGCTTGTTGGGGTTTCAGTTTTAGGGTTCAGACCCTAAGCCCTACACCCTAAACCCTAGCCGTAAACCCTAGCCCTAAACCCTAAACCCTAAACGCTAAACCCTAAACCCTCGTGAAGACACTAACCCCCTAAACGGTGCTTGCACAGCCGTCGCTCAAGCAAACCCTAAACCCTAAACCCTAAACCCTTTATCCCTAATCCCTAAACCCTAAACCCTAAACTGCCAGGACTTCGAAACCGACCCCACCCTGGAGAAGAAGCGAAGAGAGTATGTCCATGAGGCAGCGGTGTTAGGCTTCATAGGATTTAGGGTTTGGGGTTTATAGGGCTCATAGGAGTTAGGGTTTAGGGTTTAGGGTATAGGGTTTAGGGTTTAGGGTTCATGGGATTTAGGGTTTAGGGTTTAGGGTTCATAGGGTTCATAGGATTTAGGGTTTAGGGTTCAGAGTTCATAGGGTTCATAGGGTACATAGGGTTCATAGGGTTTATAGGGCTTTTAGGGTTTACAGGGTGTACAGGCGTTGTAGGGCTTGTACGGTTTGTGAGTTTTAAAGGGCTTATAGGGCTTTGTAAGGTTGATTGGGTTTTTTGGGCTTCTGGCGCTTGTAGGGTCTTAGGCTTTACAGGGTTGATTGGTTTTATAGGATTTTAGGGTTTTGTTGGGTTTACAGGCCTTGCACAGGTTTTCAGAGTTTATAGGTTTTGTAGGGCGTGCAAGTTTTAGAGGGCTTCTAGCGTTTATAGAGCTGAATAGGGCTGACATCACTTTTAGTTTTTTTTTTTTTTTTTTGGGGGGGGGGGGGTTGGTTTGGGCTCAAGCTACCACCCTGGGATGTTCCCCCCTTTTTCTAACAGTCCTGAATAGGGTTTAGGGTTGAGGGTTGAGGGTTGAGGGTTGAGGGTTGAGGGTTAGGGATTACAGTACCTTTTAATGATTCTGATCCCTAGTAAGGATTGTGAGTATTAGGGGGAACATCCCAACTGCTACCTATGATCCCCAGCCAGGCAGCCAGCAAGCTCTGCAACGCGCGGCTCATACGAATCGACAACAACCGCCACGGCCTCAGAGATCGATAGAAACCCGGTAATGCTAGGGGATCCGAAGTATGGGCTCTTAAGGCGGGTCCCCTGTTCTCTTTAGGGTTTAGGGTTTAGGGTTTAGGGTTTAGGGTTTAGGGTTTAGGGTTTAGGGTTTAGGGTTTAGGGTTCCTTATGTACACTTATAAATACTAAGGCCCACACTTCGGGATCCCTTTAAACTAAGCAAGGGTAAGGGGCCATACTAGAGGCCCATGGTTCCTACCTTCGAAATACCCGACATGCACCCAAACTCCCAAAGCCCCCCTTAGGGTTTAGGGTTTAGGGTTTAGGGTTTAGGGCTTAGGGCTTAGGGCTTAGGGCTTAGGGTTTCGAAAGCCCTAAAGCCCTACAACTTGGCATGCTCCCCCTTCTACTCACAGTCCTTATTAGGGGTTAGAGTACCCCTCCAAGTCTAATCCTTAAGGACTGTTCGTAGTGAGGAACATCCCAACCTACAGCCTTAAAAGCCCTGAACCTTAAACCCTAAAACATTACCCTAAACCCTCTAAGCCCTGAAGCCCCTAAACCCCGAAATCTGGACGACCGGCTCGGGGCTCATGCTGTGTAGGGCTCGGGGCTGAGAACATGGGGCTCAAGGCTTCGGTAGGGTTTAGGGTTTGGGGTTTAGGGTTTAGGGTTTAGTGCTCGCGTGGGCTTCTTTCTTCTTTAGTGACAATATCTTGTGGGGTTATGAGGTTATGGAGCTTCTAGGGTTTTTAGGGGTTAGAATAGGCGGTAGCGGATTATTTTGACAACATCTTCGGATTATTTTGACAACATCTTGTGGGGTTATGAGGTTATGGAGTTTCTAGGGGTTTTAGGGGTCAAATAGGCAGTAGTGCAATAATTTGAACAACTACCATGTGGAGTTAGAGGTGAAGACACCATTGGGCCCTGTCGAAACCTTGACTTAAAAATTGTTTACCCTACCAACCCTCGTGCTTTGGTGCAGTTTGCCGATTTCAGGGTTTAGGCTGTTAGGGGGTCTAAACCCTAAACCCTTAATAACTTAACCCATAGCATGTAGGGTTGGGTAGAGGTACCCCTAGAGGGTTAAGGTTCGGTTTAGGTTTTAGTGCTTTGGATTTAGGGTTCAGGGTTTAGGGTTTGCAAGGCTCCAACTCCAGAAGCCTGTCCCCTGAGCTGTTTATAAAGGTTATCCTGCCCCCTGAGCCCTAAACCCTAAACCCTAAACCCTAACCCTAAACCCTAAACCCTAAACCCTTAATAAGCCCGGGCCTTCAAGAGGAAACTACAACCCGACGGACCTGGGGCGCGTGGCCGCGCGCTTCTACGCCGGGGAGCCCTGATTGCTTGAAGGCACATGGGTTGTAGGTAGGGTTTAGGGTTTAGGCTTTAGGCTTTAGGCTTTAGGGTTTAGGGTTTAGGGTTCAGGGTTAGAGTTTAGGTTTCAGGGCGTAGCGGTTTAGGGTTTTGTTAGGGCTGTGAGGGCGCTGGAGAGCTGTCCTTCTTCATTGTTTACCACCCACTGCGTGCAGCGGGAAACCCCAGAAAGAAGCCTAAATACGTTTCTACTTACATTGCTATATATGTGTGCGAATTTATTCAGGTTTGTTCAACATACAAGAAATGCACAACAATAAGAAGTAAAACGACAATGGTAGTAAGCATACGACTAGAGCAAACAATGACACATAGTACACGCGTGTGTATGTGTGTACACGTTATATAGACATGTAATACTACAAACACATATCGTTGCTTGTTCTACCTATGTATACACTTAGAGGATCGCCAGTGGGAGCTGCGGACCCTCTGTAGGGTTTAGGGTCTCGTAGGGTATAGGGTTTAGGCTTTCCTTGTCCTGAAGGTCTTTACAAAAACAGCTGCGCGCCTAGAAAGAGACCGCGACCCCCCCCCCCCCCCCCCCCCCCACCACACCTCAGGTCGAAACAACACCCTAAACCCTAAACCGATTATCGCAAAGCTGCTGTTGTTGAATGTACTTGTTCCTTTTGAGAGGTTTGTTCACCGGCCATTGGGAGTCCCAAGCGCCGGGTTTGGGGTTCCAGGGTTTAGGGTTTAGGATTTAGGGTGTAGGGTTTAGGGTTTAGGGTTTAGTGTTTAGGTTTTCTACAGGAACCTCAACAGCCCCGGGCTGTAGCCCAACCGAACACCGATATTACCTTCCGAAGGCCCTCAGCTTAGCGAAGCTTCCGGCACTTGTGGTGTAGGGTCTAGGGTTCAGGGTTTAGGGTTAAGGCTTTAGGGTTGAGGGTTTCGGGCTTAGGGTTTAGGATTACCCAAAGAGGGTCCATGTACCTAAATCGTGTACACTTGGGCCCCGGGGCCTCGCACAGGTTTTTACATGGACCTTTAGGTCTCGGGTTTCGGGAATGTGGCCGTAGCCCTAACCCCTAAAGCGTTTATGCCCGAAACCCTAATCCCTACACCCTACACCCTACACACTAAACCCTAAACCCCAAAACCTAAACCCTAAACCCTAAACCCTAAACCCTAAACCTAAAGTCAGGTCGATTGGGAGACCGCGGAATCGTTTAGCAAGGGTCTCGTGCAGCACATGGACGATGACAGGAGCACACGCACGCACTGTCATGTTTTTGTATTCTTCTTCTTCTTCTTCCTCTTCTTCTTCTTCTTCTTCTTCTTCTTATCCTCTCCTTCTCCTTCGGTTTAGGGTCTAGGGCTTAGGGCTTGGGGTTTAGGGTGGGGGAGGGGTGACGTGGGGACAGCCCAACATAGAGTCTTCCGACTGCACAGGGTAGAGGGCTTAGGGTTTAGGGTTTGGAGACTCATTGTACTGTCCTAATAGACCCAGTTACCCTGCTTGAGCCTCCTGCTATGAGTCGGCCCTAACAGCCCCCAAACCTAAGAAGCCCCCCCCCAAAAAAAAACAAAAAACAAAAAAACGAACAGAAACCCTGTGGCTAAATAGGGTATATGAGGGCTTTATAAAGCACTTCCTATGTACTGACTTTTGAGCCCGAGCTGAGGTACATGGACCTGCAGGGTAAATCTTAGTAGCACGAAGCCCCACACTATAGCTAAACTCTGAGCTCTCAACCCTAAACCCGAAACCCGAAACCCTAAACCACCTCGACCCTCAACGAGTCTTCCACTCCAGTCCATGAGGCCCTCAAAACGGGTTTGGAACTTTAGGGTTTCGGGTTGTAGGGGTTGTAGGGACCCCAGGGTTGTCGGGTTGCAGGATTTAGGGTTTCCAAGGTTCGGGCGTTTTAGGGCGTTAGGACTCGAGCTCAGCTTCCCCTGAACCCTAAACCCTGAACCCTGAGCCCTCAACCCTAAACCCTAAACCCGACACCCTAAACCCTAAACCCTAACCCTAAACCCTACCTCTGGTCTTGTCCCGTGCTGACCGCGGCCAGGTTTTGCTCCAGACCAGTGTGGCCTGCGTGGCCTGTAGATCATGGGTTCCCCGCCTACTACCGCCCCCTACACTACCCCCCCTAGGTTCCCCCCTTAAATAACTTTATTTGGGCTCAATTATCCCTAAATCGCCTAAATCATGGGGGGTATAGAGGGGGGTAGTAGGGGAACCCATGAGTGGAGCTTAGGGTTAAGGGTTGGAATGCTTTAGGTTATAGAAGTGGCCCAGGCTTCATAGGGCAAAATACTTAAATGTTAATTTTACAGTCTCATTGCTGTGTACTTCAGCTTGCATTCCAGCTTCGTGCGGGGAGGAAGCCACACAAGAGCTGCAAGCTCAAACTGTAGACTTGGTAGCCCGGTGGCACTCTTTACTTTTGTTGGTTATGGGTTCCCTCAGTATAAGGTAACCAACCCAAAAAAGGGTGCCCTGGCCTACCAAGTACACCATACCTAGATCAACCTTTGCCCCCTTCAACAAGGAATGTACCCGAATCATTGGAGAAATTGCACTGTACCCTTTCAAAACATCCCTAATCCCCAATCCCAAATCCCTAAGCCCTAAACCCTAAACCTAAACCTCAAACCCCAGACCCTGAACCCTAAACAGGCCCTCCCCAGACCATCAGAAGCCGTGAGGATACTTGCGCTCTTCGGCAAGGCGCACGAGTTTAGCCAACTGAAGGTGCGACACGGAAGGGGGTTTAGGGTTTAGGGTTTAGGGTTTCAGGGTTTAGGGTTTGGGGTTTGCGGTTTAGGGTTTAGGGTTTAGGGTTTCGGTAGGTTTCGGCCGTAGGGCTTGCAACTTGCTGGTTAGGGGGTCAGGGTCTAGGGTTTATCAAGAGTAGATATTTTGGGCCCTTGGTACCCTAAACCCTAAACCCTAAAGTTTGGGTTTAGGGTTTAGGGTTTAGGGTTTAGGGTTTAGGGTTTAGGGTTTAGGGTTTAGGGTTTAGGGTTTAGGGTTTAGGGTTTAGGGTTTAGGGTTTAGGGCCTAAACCCTAAACCCTAAACCCTGAACCCTGAACCCTATACCCTGAACCCTAACTTCCTCTGCAGGGTTCTGATGTGTGTGCCCTTGGCTTGTTTAGGGCATATAAGGATTTTCCAAGGGGTTCCCTTTGAATGGCCCATACTAAGAGACCATGCAACTACCCTAAGAGTTTTAGTGGGCTGTTAGGATGTTGGGCAGATCTCTGACGCATACTTTAGGGTTTAGAGTTTAGGGTTTGGAATCCTTCAACCACAAGATATGCCACTGCCTGAACGGTATGCTTGTTGGGGTTCCCTTGTTGCGCAGAAATAGAAATCAAAAGCCCCAAAACCCGAAGCCTTTTTTATTCACAAGTAAGTATAGCCCTGCAGCCCTTTTGACATTTACCAAACCTAATAGCTCTAAACCCCCAATGAAACCTTAAAAGCCCTGTGCTACTTCGGGTTTATGGCTTGTGGGTTTCGTAGGCTTTCGTGTTTAGTTTTCCCTAAACCCAAAACCCAAAACCCAAAACCCCAAACCCCAAACCCCAAACCCTAAACCCCAAACCCCAAACCCCAAACCCTAAACCCTAAACCCCAAACCCCAAACCGTAAACCCTAAACCCTAAACCCTAAACCCTAAACCCTAAACCCTAAACCCTAAACCCTAAACCCCAAACCCTAAACCCTAAACCCTAAACCCTAAACCCTAAACCCTAAACCCTAAACCCTAAACCCTAAACCCCAAACCCCAAACCCCAAACCCTAAAACCCTAAACCCTAAACCCTAAACCCTAAACCCCCCCCCCTCCCCCCCCGCGCAGAGCCGCGAAGATGAGCAAGCGGAGCTGGGGCAGCTGATGGAAGACCCGCAGGCCGCGGGGGCTTTTGAGGGATTTAGGGTTTTAGGGTTTTTTCAGGGCTTTTAGGGGTCTTTGGGTTTAGGGTTTAGGGTATATGTTGAGGGTTTTAGTGTCTTTGTCTTCAGGGTTTTTTGGGGTTTAGGGCTTTAGGGTTTTGTGGTTTTGGAGTTTTAGGGTTTGAGGGTTTTTGGGGTTTTGGGATTTTGTGGTGTTCGGGTTTTGGGGTTAGGGTTTCAGGTTTTCGGTGTTAGGGTGTGAGGGTTTTGGGGTTTTGGAGTTTAGGGTGCTGGGGTTTTGGGGTGCTAGGGTTTGAGGGCGGGTTTTGGGTTTTTCAGTTGTGGGTTCGTGGTGTTTTGGGGTGTTAGGGTTTTGTTATTTAGGGGTTTGGGCTTTAGGGTTTTAGGGTTTTGGGGGTTTAGGGTTTAGGGCTATAGGGTTTTGGGGTGTAGGGGGGTTTTGCGGTTATTGGGTTTAGATGTTCAGGGTTTTATGGTTTTGGGTTTGCGGGTTTTGGGGTTTTGGGGTTTCAGGGCTTTGTGGTTTTTGTTTTCTTTTGCGAATGTTACAGGGTATTTTCTGTTTATGCAATGGTACAGTTCTTTGAGAGGTTGTTGTTGGTTTCTGTTGGGGGGGTTTCTTGGAGCGCTTTGGGTTTCGGAGTATTGGGCTTTCGGCCTTGCTTGTGGAGAGATCTACAGGCAGCGCAGGTCTGGGGTTGGGACTTGGGGTTCACGGGCTTAGGGTTTAGGGTTTAGGGTTTAGGGTTTAGGGGCGCAAGAGCTTCGATTCCGGCGCCTGTCTGAGCCCTAAACGCGAAACACTAAACCCTAAACCCAGGGTTCAGGGCTTAGGGTTGGTAAGGGTTGCCAACCACCGGTACGCGTGACACCTGCCGTGTTGAGTGTTCAGGAAAGACGCTAAACCCTAAACCTAAACCCTCAACCCTCAAACCCTCAAACCCTAAACCCCAAACCCTAAAGTTTGCAGAAGCTTAATTCAAGTTCGGAGGGTCAAGAGCCTCATGAAACACGTGCAAAGCAGAAGGCCGAAGCCTTTGGGTTTAGGGTTTAGGGTTTAGGGCCTTTAGGGTTCAGGGTTTAGGGTTCAGGGTTCAGGGTTTAGGGTTTAGGGTTCAGGGTTCAGGGCTTAGGGGTTTAGGGTTTAGGGCCGAATCCTGAGGGTCTTAAGATATTTAGTATTTAGGCTAGTGCAATGCCTCCACTCCCCTTGGCTGTACCAGAGCTTCTACCCTCAAAACTCTGTACCCTAGAACCCTACACCCTATTCCCGAAACCCTAAGCCCCTAAAGCCCCAAACCCCTACTGGTACACCCCTAACGCCTAAAGCCTAAACTCACGAAACCTACTTGTGGGAATAAGGGTCTCGGAGTTGCCTGATTACTACGATCCTGGTTTTCGAGCTCGAAGATTAAAAAAAAAAAAAAGTGCTATGGATTTAGGGAGTAGGAGCCGCTCAGCCCTAAAACTTAAAGGCCTAAACCCTAAACCTTAAAACCCTAAACCCCAAACCCTAAACCCTAAACCCGAAACCCTAAACCCTAAACCCTAAACCCAACCATTGCAGGTCTGCCCTGTCCGAGTCCTTGGCGGCACAGATAACATCTACGGCAAGGCCTGCGGGATGCTTCGGCGAGCTGTACCTTTGAGGTTCAGGGTTTTGGGTTTCGGGTTTAGGGTTTAGGGTTTAGGGTTTCGGGTTTCGGGTTTAGGATTTAGGGTTTAGGGAAACCGTACTTCTAGCCCAATTATGGCCCTGTTAGGGTGCCTAAGGGGAGGTTCAAGTACCTTTGAGTTTTAGGGGTTTGGGGTTTAGGGTCCGGGTTTTGGGGTTCAGGGTTTAGGTTTCGGGTTGAAGGTTTAGGGTTTAGGGTTCGGGGCTCAAGGTTTCGGTTTAAGGCAAAGGGTTTTAGGTTTAGGCATAACTTGGGCTTCAGATGAAGCTGCTTAGTGTGCTCTCTTGGTGGCATCGACCTTGGTAGGATCGTATGGCCCGGCTCAAATCATAAGAGTTGAGGGTCAGGGTTTAGGGCTTAGGGTTTAGGGTTTAGGGTTTAGGGTTTAGGGCTTAGGGTTTAGGGTTTAGGGTTTAGGGTTTAGGGTTTAGGGAACCTTTCTTACAGTCATTTTGGGGACAGGTATATGTGTAGTTCTCTAAATTAAAGTCTGCGTTTGGGGGTTGTTTCCTCTAAGGGTGCCGCATTTTTTATCGGACCCAAAAAGGGACATATCTGGGTTTTGGAGTACAATACTTGAATACTTGTTTTGGTTCTGGTTGTTTTTGCAGAGTTTACTCCAAAGTAGGGATATGTTGAACAACCACCAAATAAATACGGAAGTTTCTTCCCTGAGGCCCCAAATTGCCCCAATAGCCTTCCCTAAGCGTCCAAGTACCCCAACATTGCCAGCTAAACCCAAATGTTCCCGAGTTGTAGGGGGCGCGGGCCATTCTTCGACATCGGCCCGGCACATTGCCCACGCCATTCGCGGACTCCTGGAGCAACTGCGAGACGTCTGGAACAACAACCTCAAGACGGAAATGTCCAGGATTGCGACGTTGACAGAGTCCGAGATGTTGTGGACACCTACAGATATAAGCATGGTCGGGTGAGCCGAAACTCATCAACCCGGCGTGCGGAGTGCCCCTCTAGGAGGCTTAGGGTTCACTTAAACGAACCGTTCTGCCCTCAAGCAAAGGAAGCTTACCTAAATCCGAAACCGCCTAAAGCCCAAGCCTAAGCTCCTTTTGAGGATCGTTACTCTGAGCCCTAAGCCGCCTAAACCCTAAACCCCCTTTGTAACGCACAAGCTTGTCTGGAAGCCCTGTGGACTTAGTAAGGTGGTTACGGTGATGTTAATGGGGTTTCTGGTTGATATTTACTGAGTTACTAAGTCAAAAGAGCTTCCAAGTACTCTAGGTAAAGTTGAGGGTTTACAACTTTGGCAAGCCAGGGTTCTGAAACCAGAAAGCCGAAGCCCCCAAACCCAAGGTTTGGGGCTTTAGGGCTCTAGTGGTTTTGGGGTTTTATGGTTTGGGGTTGGGGGGTTTAGGGTTATAGGGTTTAGGGTTTCGGGCTTTAGGGTCCAGGGTTTAGGCTTAAGTTTGAATGAGGGTTGAGGGTTCCGGGAACCTCGGCGAACTTAAATGATCACGTCGGGTATGTACAAGTAGGGGCGCTGCAAAACACCTCAAGAAACTTAAGCTATCCGATAAGGCCCGTCATATCTGCACATGGGAGGGCCCTTTTCACTAGACCCTAAATCCTGAACCCGTTGCCCATACACCTCAAACCCTAAACCCTAAACCACCCTAAACCCGAAACACTAAACCCTAAACTTTTAAACCATTGTTGGACGAAGGTGGCCATCCTACTGCAAGTCTACCTCAGCCGGAAGTATATCGAGGCAAGTTTTTAAGCGCAAGGTTTTTGGGGTCGCAGGGTTGGGGTTCAGGGTTTAGGGTTTTCTGTTTCGGGTTTGGGTTTGGGGTAATTATAGGGTTCAGGGTTTAGGGTTTAGGGCCTCAGGAATGTTTGCATGGATGTACACTCCTCAATCCCTCAACCCTCTGAACACCTCAGTCCTCGAACCTAAACCCTCTAACCCCAGACAGTGCTCAGTAGCCACGAGGCTTCCTACAGGAAATCCGGGTTTAAAAGTTCAGGGTTTAGGCTCGGTTTAGGGTTTAGAGTTTCGGGTTTAGGGTTTTGGGGGTTAAGGGTTTAGAGGCAGTATGGCTTTTGGTCAGTTTACATGTATGGTTCCTTGGGTGGATCATATTATATTGGGTGTCCGTTTTGGGGGGACTCCTTAGTGTCGGGCCTTCCGGTGGTCTCTTCCGTCGCCTAGAGGGCAGCTAAAACCCCATTCCCTAGACCCGAAACCCTCCCTAGACCCTGAACGCTAAACCCTCAGCCTAAGACCCCCCCCAGGCTTACAGAAAGGGTTGAGGGCTCAGGATTTAGATTCAGGGGTCAAGGAAATTAGTGCTTCGGGTTTGGGGTGTAGTGTTGAGTCCCCTAGAAGGGACCCTTAATCTTGTTCCCCTTCCCTATACATACCTTAGAGAGTCCCTATATACCTAGGTAGCCCCTAAATAACCCCCCAAAAAACCCTCAGGTCCCTTGTAAGGGTCCCACTTTGTTCCACCACATGGCAACAATCGCGCTGTGCAACAATCAGCGGCATCGTGGATATAAGGAGACAGAACTTTGATGGGGTAAAGGGCTACCCTGTAGTCATCCCGGGCGGGCTATTCTGTTCCAAGAAACGTCTGCAAAATTCAGCGCGCGAGCACAAGTGAGCCGAGAGCAGCCACGGCCTTGGGAAATTGCCATGCGTGGCACAACGGAGGACGGTTTGGGGGGTTGCAGGGCTCTAATCCCTAAACTCCTATAGACCTTAAACCATCTTAAACCCAAACCCTAAACCCTGAGGAGACATTATGGCGATTTTGGACCTTCCAAAATTGGCCACGATTTGGGGGTTTCCGGATGTAGGCTTTTCGGAGTCCAGGGCCGGGGGGTACATCCTTACATCCTTTGAAACGGGAGACGTGCTACAGACATCGCCGCCCAAACCCTTCAACCTGAGACGCCAAGCTCGGCTTCGGACGATTTGGATGCGAGGTTTGGAGATCTATGCTTCGGGTTGAAGTGGGTATCCAGTTTACGAGTTACAAGGCTTAGGCTGCAGGATTTAGGGGGTCTTCGCCCCATAACCCGTTAAGCAGCTAATGATCCCTTTCCCTTCCCGAAACCCAAACCCAAACAGCGCAAGGCCCCAAAACCTGAAACCCTAAAACCCACGAAGCGCCGAAACCCAAGAACCCAAAACCCTGAATCAAGCTTCAAGCCCAGGGCCCCTGTAGCTGAAGAAGATTTCAAGCAACAGTCCCTAAACCCCCCTAAACCCCGTAAGCCCCCTAAACCAGAAACCCCCTGAACCCTGAAACCCCTCAAACCAAAACACCCTCAACCCTAATCTCCCTCAACCCTCAAACCTTAACCCCCTCAACCCCCTCAACCGCCTGAACCCCCTGAACCCCCTGAACCTCCTAAAGCCAAAGCCCTAAAGGCCCCTAAAGCCCCTAAAACCCCTAAAACCCCTAAAGCCCCTAAAACCCCTAAAAACCCCTCAAGCCCCTAAAGCCCCTAAAACCCCTAAAGCCCCTAAAGCCCCTAAAACCCCTAAAACCCCCTCAAACCCCTAAAACCCCCAAAACCCCTAAAACCCCTAAACCCCAAACCCTAAACCCTAACCCCTAAAGCCCCTAAACCCTAGAAACCCTCAAATGAAGGGCTTCAGCCTGGTCAGCGACTGCAACTACGTGCTGCAGAATGCCTCGAGGCGGGGCAGCGGTGGCATTTTTTTGTTGAAAGGAGAGGGGGGTTTAGGGTTTAGGGTTCAAACCCTAAACCCTAAACCCTAAACCCTAAACCCTAAACCCTAAACCCTAAACCCTAAACCCTAAACCCGAAACCCTAACCCTCAACCCTAAGTGCAAGCCTCCCTCTTGTTTTTTTTTGGTTTGTGCCTGGTTTGCCTGGGATAGCAATGGTGATGGGGCGTGAGCTGGCAGCTGAAGTGCTTTGGGTTTAGGGTTTAGGGTTTAGGGTTTAGGGTTTAGGGTTTAGGGTTTAGGGTTCAGGGGGATTCTGAACTTAGTAGTTGAATGAGTAATGTGGGACCTGCTTTAATGTGGGGGCCCCCCCCCCCCCCCCCCCCCCCCCCCCCCCCCTGAACAGTCGGGGCGTGGATTGGGTCCTGATTACACGGCCCCGGGGGCTTATATGATTTTAATAGGGTGGAGTTTAGATATGTTTAAAAGGGGCAGCAATGCCCGGTTATCTTTTTTAAAGGCGCGCCACGTGGAGTTTTCTTACGGCGCCCGGACGGTTTGACTTTAAAGCGGACCCCTCAAACAGTGAGGGGGTCCTGAATAATTCCGCCAAATTGACTTTAAAGCGGCCCCCCCTAATAAAGCAGGTCCAACATTACACTCTACACTTTTTGGGATACTATAATCCCCTATAGAACTGAAAGTGTACACTCTTGGGGGGGGGGGCTTATGAACTCAGCGACTAAGCCTTTCTGAACCTCTTAAGTACCCCAATAGGTCTTTACGTGGGTTTTATGTAATTGCAGTTGTATCTGGGCACAAGCACTGTGAATGTCCAACTAGACCTTGTAAGCCCTCCAAACTCGAAACCCACTGCTGGAGGTTTGGCATGACATGTTCTCTGAGCGCACTCGCGCAGTTGTACTGCCGCGATTTCATGCAGACTTGTTGCTCTGCGCAATCAATTGCCACAAATGCGACAGAACACAAAACTAGAACTTCGAACATCCCCACCTTGCTCCTCGTTTGATAGGTGTTTTTGCAAGTGGCACAATCCCTCGCACATGTCTCATCCATGGAGCGGATTGACTCCAAGATCGCCTCAACCCGAAACCCCCCAAAAACCTTAAACTCTAAACCCCAAAATCCCTCAACCCTAACCCCCCAAAAACCCTAAACCCCAAAAACCTTAAACTCTAAACCCCACCCCAAAATCCTGAAACCCTAACCCCAAAAACCCTAAACCCCAAAAGACAAAACCCTAAACCCCAAGCCCTCTCGTGCCCCAGGCTCTTCCGTGCCCTCTTTGAGATCACCATGCCGTGGTCTCAGAACAGTATGCCTGTCACACCCCCAAAACCACTAGGGTTTAGGGTTTAGGGTTTAGGGTTTAGGGTTTAGGGTTTAGGGTTTAGGGTTTAGGGTTTAGGGTTTAGGGTTTAGGGTTTAGGGTCTCTCTCTCTCTCTCTCTCTCTTACATGTCTAGCTCATAGCCCCGTGAGCGTTGCTAGCCCTTTGCTTTTCACTATGTCCACTCACTATGGCTTCGTGCTTGTTGTTCGCCCTTTCTTGGCTGAGGGTGCATGTGCTTATTAAGTTTCTAGAGCTTTTGGGTTTAGGTTTGCAAGGGCTAAGGGTTTTGTCTCATTGGCCCTAAGCGCTAAACCCTCAGCCTAAGCCTAAACCCTAAACGTAAGCCCGCCCCCCCCCCCCCCCCCCCCCCCCCCATTAAAGCATGGTAGTGAATGCCGAGGACGCGGGTGACCAACATGAGCGAGATGAGCGACCGGCTCCTTGAATGGTGTCCCGGGCTTAGGGGCTCAAACGCCATGGGTTCTTTGGGTATGGAGCGCAGGAACTATGTCTGGACTTTTTAGGGTTTAGGGTTTAGGGTTTAGGGTTTCGGGTTTGGGGTTGTCGTTGTTGGGGTCGGGGCCAGGTTTTGATTCTGCTTGGTTTTGGCTGTTGTGTTCCTAGTACTATTGCTATTCTGACGACCACCACGGAAATAGCTGTACAACACGAATCCACTTTCATCATCATTCCTGTTCAATTGCCGTCATCGCTGTATGAGTAGTGAGACCAATTGTGACGAAAGTTTTTCTGATTGTGACATGCACTAAGAACCCAAGTATAACTGTACTTCTAGCCCACTTCTGAGCTGTCCAAGCCCCCCCCCCCCCCCCCAAAAAAAAAAAAAAAACACAGTCATACCTGGGATAGAACTACAGTTACGGTTTAGGGTAAAGGGTTTAGGCCTTCAAACCCGACACCCCCCAGCCTTAAGGGATGGGGGACCTGAGGGGTTCTTCGGGGGGTAGTTAGGGGCCACCTCGATAAGGTCTATATATATATATATTCATATATAAGGGTTATATAGGGGAATAAGATAAAGGGTCCCTTCGAGGGATCCCTCCTTCTACCCTTAACAGCCCCAAACCTTTAGGGTTTAGGGCTTAGGGTTTAGGGCTTAGGGTTTAGGGTTTAGGGTTTAGGGCTTAGGGCTTAGGGTTTAGGGCTTAGGGTTTAGGGTTTAGGGCTGAGGGCTTAGGGTTTAGGGGTTAGGGTTTGCCCCAACCCCGAAACCCTCAAGACTCAGGCAAGATGATCGATCAACGACTCTGGCAAAGCTGCTTTCTCAGACCGCTTCCGGATAACTCCAAAGAACTCATCAAGACCCTAAACCCTAAACCCGAAACCCTAAACCCTAAACCCTAAACCCTAAACCCTAAACCCTAATTGACATAGGAGGCTTGGGGTTGAGGGATTTTGGGAACCTCTAAGACTCGAAGGGTAGTTTCATGGGCCCTCAATGTAGTCCCTAACCTCCTTTAAAGGATTCTGATGTATGGGCCCTTAATTTGGGCCCGTAATTTGTGTAGGGTATATAAGGGGTATGTAAGGGGTACAGTTCCAAGGGCCCATACTAAGGGCCCATGTGACTACTCTTAGAGAACCTATGGACTACAGTAGAGTTTAGGATTTAGGGTTCATGGGTTAATTCGGGTTTTTAGGGAGCAGCACCCCCAAGAGGTTGGCCTTAATATGTTCCGAATCTGGCCCCTATATGTTTTTAGAGGATCTTTAACAGGGGACCCCAAACCCAGGGGTACAACCTTAGGGGTCCAGGATAGAATCTCATGAGGTATGTGTTCCTTAATGCCGGCGTGTGGGTTGCTCCGGTAGTTCTCGGGTTCAGGTTGGGTTTAGAGGTTTGAGTATGAGCATGATTCTTAGACCCTATACCCTGACAGGTTTACCGCTTTGGGTGTAGGATTCAGAACGTTTTTTGTGATTGTTTCCTTGTCTCCGGAGCTCTTAATGACACCACAGAAGCCCCAACCCTGCCCTAAACCCTACACCCCAAGCCCTAAACCCAAACCCTAAACCCCAAACCTTCCGCAGCAAGTTGGTTTTGGAGCGCCCCAACCCGCAGGGTCCCAAACCCTACCTAGGGCAACTGCCTTCGCCCCCGCTTAATCGCTTAGGGTTTAGGGGCGTAGGGTTCAGGGTTTAGGGTTTAGGGTTTAGGGTTTAGGGTTTAGGGTTTAGGGTTTAGGGTTTAGGTGATATAGGGTTTCCCTGAACCCTACATGATATGAAGGTCAGCACGTGCTGCGGCACTTCTGCTACCCACCGGGAAGCGCCAACAGCAACAAGGCCCTTGAGAAGCCCCTGACATAGGAGTTAGGGTTTAGGGTTCAGGGCTTAGGAGTTGCCTGGAGGTTCATGGTACTTAGAAACCCAATTATAACCCTATTGGGGTACTTAAGGGCTTATAAGTGGGTTATAAGTACAGTTATAATTGGAATGTAGGTTGTAGGAATGCGATCGCTGAACCATCATGAAATGGGCACCCCAAAACCCCATGGTTTTGGGGTACCTAATTCCAGAGTAGTGCCACAAATAGACCCCATGGGTGGGCTCCTCATTCTGAAGGAAAAACAAAGGCTTAGTCTTTTCGTCGTTCTTTGGTTCTTGGGGAAGCAAGCTTAAGCCCAGGGTTTTCTCCGGCCTAAGGGGTTCGGGGTTTCGATATGTTGTGTTATGGAGTCTTGTGTACAAGACCATTGTGAGGATACTTTCCGGGTTATATCCTGTAAGGTACATGTGCGTTTCCCCTACAGGGTTAAGTGACGCTTGGAAAGTTGGTTTGGGGCGTACGTAGCAAGTAATGTCAAGGACCTACATGTCGCAAAGCTTGCTGTGCCAACTTACACCCTTGACCCCGTAAAGGTTTGGGTTTTGGACTGGGCTTACAGCCTTAACCCGTAAACTCCAAGTCAAACATCCAGCAGCATTAGCCCTTAACATACACCCTCAACTTAAGCCCCAGACCCCCGGACCCCAAACCCCAAAACCCCACCGAGGCCTCCAACCCTACAATGCCTTCAGCCCTAGAACCTGAAGCCCTCAAACCCTGAACCCTAAACCTCATACCCTCAAGCCCCACATGGCCTGTCAGCCCCGAGCCCGATCAACCCTCGACCCCCATCAGCCCAAACCCAATTAGGGTTTAGGGTTTAGGGTTTAGGGTTTAGGGTTTAGGGTTTAGGGTTTAGGGTTTAGGGTTTAGGGTTTAGGGTTTAAGCGGGTTTAGGGTTTTGGGAGCCCTAAGCCCTAAGCCCTAAGCCCTAAGCCCTAAGCCCTAAGCCCTAAGCCCTAAGCCCTAAGCCCTAAGCCCTAAGCCCTAAGCCCGGGTTTCTGCCCGCAGGGGGGGAAGTCGCTGGACGAAGGGCCCAAAGGCGGCGTCCTGAAAGAGCAGATCGTCAAGAAGCTGGAGGTAGCGGATGCTTCGGGTTCTTAATTTGGGGTTTCGGGGTTTAGGGGATTTGGGAAAGCCCTAGCAAGTTCGGAACTTGATTAGGGTGTGGGGGTCAGAGGTTTAGGGGTTTAGGGGTTTAGGGGTTTGGGGGTTTAAAGGGTTTAGCCCTTTAGGGGTTTTGGGTACACCCTAGCAAGTTCGTAACTTCATCAGGGTTTAGGGATTTGGGGAGTTTAGGGGTTTGGGGGTTTGGGGATTTAGGGGTTTGGGGGTTTGGGGGTTTTTGGGTAAACCCTAGCAAGTTCGTAACTGATCAGGGATTTGGGGAGTTTAGGGGTTTGGGGGTTTAGGGGTTTAGGGGGTTTGGGCAAGCCCTAGCAAGTTCGTAATTGATCAGGGTTTTGAGGTTTAGGGGTGTAGGGTAAACACGAAACAACCCTAAAACCCGAAGTTTTCCTTTGGTGTACCTCTATGCATCTGGGGTTCAGGTTTTCTTGAATTTGGGTTTAGGGTTTAGGTTTAGGGTCTAAGGAACCCGAAACCCTGAGGTCACTAGGCATCTCGCCGAAAACCCCCCAAAAGCTCTACACCCTAAACCCTAAACCCTAAACCCCAAACCCCAAACCCCAAACCCCAAACCCTAAACCCTAAACCCTAAACCCTAAACCCTAAACCCTAAACACTGCCGCCGCAACCCTTGCAAGGGCTCGAAGGGGCATGCCATGGAGGCCCATCTTCGGATTCCCGCCGAGCGATGGTGCGTTACGCGCAGAGAATTCTTTGCCTTTGTCAGCGAGGCGCGGGGTTGGAGGGTTTAGGGTGTAGGGTTTAGGGTTTAGGGTTTAGGGTTTAGGGCTCGGGTCGAGGGTTTAGGGTTTAGGGCTTAGCCTCAAGGGAGATTCTTCTGGTCGAAGCGTCGAATGGTTTCGGGCTCCGGGTTTGTTTCCCAGGGTTCTAGATCCCCAGCTCCTACTAGTTAGTTCTGAGGAGGGTTAGGTTGTAGGGGATTTAGGGGACTAGGTGATTTATGCCCTGAGCTTTAGAACCCTAAACCTCAAACTAGCCTATGCCCAAATCTAAGCCCTATAAACCCTACCTTAAGAACCCAAGCCTAAAATTTGTAGATTTCCGAAGAATCCTATTGAGGGTGTTTCGCAACAGCCTACACATAAGTAGGTTAAACCTTATAAACCCTAAACCCTCAACCCTAAACCCTAAAGCCTAAACAGACTTGTTGGCTAATACACCCGGGGGTCAACCAGTTTATGGCCATTGTGCTCAATGCGCCAAATGCATGTTGGGGTGACGTTTGGGTACTGGCACAGGACAGGACCCTGAGGGTTTGGTCGCGCCGGAGAACACACAACTGGGCGTGCGGCTACCCGAGCCAGACAGCACCCATGGTGCCAATTGGTGGAGTTGGAGTTATGAACCGCCAAATCCTCGTCAGGCTGGTGGAGGCCCCCAACACTGCACCACTGATCACATTTGGTCAAGCCATATTGGCAGAACATGAATTTGGCATCATCCACGTCGATGTCCATGCACTTCAGGTATACCTGCAGGCAGTGAACCCTAAACCCGAAACCCTAAACCCCAAACCCCAAACCCTAAACCCTAAACCCTAAACCCTGAACCCCAGTTGTGGGTGCTTAAGGTAAAGCCTTACGCCTTGGGAGTCGCCTGGGCGAAGGTGCAAAAGCTCTGGAGGCGTGGAGCGCTTCCTGATGCTTGGTAGTTGTTCAAGTTTAGGGTTTGGGGTTTAGGGTTTGGGGTTTAGGGTTTGGGGTTTAGGGTTTGGGGGTTTAGGGTTTGGGGTTTAGGGTTTAGGGTTTGGGGTTTAGGGTTTGGGGTTTGGGGTTTGGGGTTTAGGGTTTAGGGTTTAGGGGTTTAGGGGTTTAGGGGTTTAGGGGTTTAGGGTGTTAGCCAGAAGGGTAGGTGTTGGCTAATTCTACTCTAAGGTCTTTCTTGTATAAGGGAGGCTTTTTCCATGGTCCACCCGCAATGCAATCAAGGACGTCGAGATATAGCCGGTGCTTGAAGGCTTTTGGAGGCTTGGGTTCGGGATTTGGGGTGCAAGGGCTTACGGCTTGGGATTCAGGGCTTAGGGTTGGGGATTTGAGGTTGAGGGTTCGGGTTCTGGGTGTTGGAGGCTACAGTTCGGGGGTTTCGGAGGTGTGTATGGGGTTCTGAGGGTTCCCACTAGCTGTTGTCCGAGGGTACCCTGAACCCTAAACCCTACACCCTACAGGGTTAAGAATAAACAAATAAAAACACATACATATGTATACATATATATGTATGTAGGGGCTTAAGGGACCAGGTCTAAGATGCCCAATTTTGTGCACCAACGAACCTCAGCCAGCAAGGATAGCGAGGAGTGGCCCAACCCTCGCCACAACGATCCCTGGCGCCTTGCCATGTGTGAGTACAATGGAAGGTTTAGGCGGGTTTACGGAGTTTGGGGTTGTGGGTGTTGGGGGTTTAGGGAGTTTGGGGTTTAGGGTTTCGGGTTGAAGCTTAGAATTTCGGATGTGGGGCCTTTATAACTCAACTTACACGGAAAACGAAGGGGGGATTCATCACATTCTGAATATTTTGGAGTAGGGTTTGAGGGTTTTAGAGTTCAGAGGTCTGTCTATTTCTAAGGGTACTTACATGGTCCCTGAAAATGGTCCCTGGCCTCCTTTGAAGGGTTCTGAAGTATGGGCCCTTGGGTTGTCTAGGGTACATGAGGCTAAACCCTAAACCCTAAACCCTAAACCCGTAAACATGGGGTCCCTCTTGTAAGGGCCCATACTAAGGGACCCATGTAACTTGGCGGTGCCCTACTTGGAGGTTCATGGTACTTAGTAACCCAATTACAAGTGTACTTGGTAAACCAACCATAACCCCATTAGGGCACTTAAGGGGCTTATAAGTGGGGCATAGCTACACCATTGAGTTACTAAGCACCCTGAACCTCCAAGTAGCCCTAAACCCTGAACCCCAAACCCTAAAGCCTAAACCCTAAACCCTAAACCCTAAATAATCCCTAAACCCCAAACCCCAAACCCTGAACCCTGAACCCTGAACCCTAACACTCCTGGTCCTGGTGGTGCCTTGGCGGCCTATTTGCTCAAGGTATGGCCCCAACCTTTACCAGGTCAATTTGCACTACGTGCTCCCTGGCTGTGCTTTGAACCTTTTCAACTTCTGGTCGAGAGGTAAGCTTTCGGGATATGTATATATGAGGAAAAGCCTGACATCCGAATTCCTAGACCCAAAGCCGGCCAAAACCCTACAAATGCAACAATGATGGGGGAGGGGAGCGGACCCCCGCACCCCCTCCCCCCCCCCCCCGCCCCCCGCACGAATCCCTGCCTCAAATACCGGGCAAGGCTGTGAACATAGGGGGTTTGGGATCAAGGGCTTCAAGGGTTTCGGGGCTGCGGCCTTAAGGGCTTCAGGGCTTGAGGGTTTAAGGGTTGGCTCAAGGGATTTGAAGGGTTTTGGGCCCAAGGCGGGTCTGGGGTTCAGATCCAGGTAAGCTGCCGTCCTCAAAGCCTAGTGGGTTATATTTCTGAACCCTTGAATCCTTGTATCCTTGAATCCTTGGAGCTTTGAATCCTTGGAGCCTTGAACCCTTGAACCCTAAACCCTTGAACCCTTGAACCCTAATTTTGAGCCTCTTCAACCATGTTCACTCGCGAGGAAGCCCGTAACCAGGGCCGCTGGTGGGATGAGCTACGCGCTGATGAAGCATCCGGAGGGCCTCCTTTGCCAGGCGGGGGCCAGGGGGGGGGATAAGAACCGGAACCCTGAAACCCTAAACCCCAAACCCTAAACCCCAAACCCTAAACCCTAAACCCCAAACCTCAAACCCTACACCCTAAACCACTGCCCTTCTCTGGCAACCCCCGACCTCTAGCCTTCTAGATCTGGGCTCAGCCTTGGTTTAGCTTGAAGGCTTGGAGACTCGCAGTACTTGTCAACTCAGTGATCAGCGTCGTCATGTCTCCCTTATACAAATATTGAAGCACATAGATGTATATATATATATAGTCAAAGTATATGTATATAAGTATAAATATAAATATAGATATAAATATACATCCAAATGCAAAAATAGATGTAAGTATAAATACTCATATTAGTATTAATACTAGTATTAATATTAATTTTTATATAGGCAAATTGCATATCAGGAAATACATGAATACATATATATATATATGTACTTATATATATATATTATAAGAGCGCCCTGCTCTGCGGTGAGGTGTTCGTATCGCACGCCTGGGCGGAGGGCATCTTCGAGCTGGGAAGCCACGTGAAGCGGGCCTGGCCGCGCGGGATGGGTCTCCACAACCTGACGCCTGGCGATGTCCATGGCATCTACCTACCGAGAAAACCTGGAAGAACAAGCAATAAGCCCCTATTGACCCCTACAAACCCCTATGAACCCCCATAAACCCCATAAACAGCCTATCAACCCTGAGAAAGAAAGACCATATCAGAGCCCGAACGGCTGAAAGAGGAAGGATCACTGTCCCAGAACTATCTTCTTGTGTGCAAGGCATGGGGCTACTCCCGAGGGTACACTCTTTTACGAATATCCCCCTCCCCACATTTGTTCCTGGTTCTGAGTTGGGGATGGGGGGAATTCGGTATCCTACATAATCCCTTAAAGGGTAATTTCATGCCCTCATTCCCTACTAAGAGCAAGCCTTGACTACCCAAGAATGCTGGGAGGTTCAGGGTACCTCCCTCAAAACCCAAAAGGTTTAGGGTTCAGGGATAGGATGCTTCCCCTCACATCTCCATTTATGGGGTAGGGTGGGTATTCCCTAAAAAGAGGACCCCCTCATATACCCCAAACTACCGTAGAGTCATGCCATAGAGCTTAAAATAGAAGCCCCAACAAGGGCACCCCTGTTTTGGGAAACCCCCCGGAATTGCTGCTCGCGGGTCCAAGCCCCAGACTGCCTCAACCACCTAGAGCCTAAACCCTAGACCCTAAACTGCTTAAACTCTAG